GGGGGGGGGGAAGCGGTGGGGAAGTTTGGATTGATGTATTGGTTTTTTATTTGAGGGAAGGAATGGGTTTGGATTTGGGTTTGGGTTTTTTGTGGGTTAGAGGGGAGAAGGTGGGCATTGGTAGTGGTGGGTGAGGAGTAGAATAGGTGGTTATGGTGAATGGGAGTGGTGAGTGGTGATTGGTGAGTGGTGACTCGAGTTATTATGGATGAGATGGAATGTCGGGCATGGATTCAAGGGATTGGGTAAATTAAAGGGATTGAATTTGATTAGAGGGGAGGGGTTAGAGACATGGTTGTTTGAATCTTATGAGAGGCTCGGCCGCTCGGGGTTCAGGCTCGGTTATGTTTTGTGATGAGATGGTGTTAAGCGAGCGCCGAGGGGTAGGGATGTAAGTAAGCGAGGATTGGGGCGGCGGTTGGATGTTCGGATGCTTGCGAATTGGGTGCTTGGGTGCTGGGTGCTGGAAGGGATAGGAGTCTGAGAATAGATAGGTACAGTACAGTACATGTATGTAGTTGGATGGAAAGTTCCGTCGATAGATGGGGATAGAGATGTGGGGTTGTGGGTGATACTGAGAGGGAGTATTGATATACACGACTGTGACCTTTCAACACACCACTCTGTTCTAAGAACAAGCGACATTCATTCGTACAGTGATCATTCCTCATTAATTATCCAAGTCCAACGACTACCTGGGGATCCACAGAACTCATACATCAACACTAAAGCCCCCTCAATAACTCCTCAACAGTAAGCGGCTTCCTAACCGCATTAGAAAACCCCTCATGGTACGTAACCCAAATCTTACCACCTTCCCCCATCTTCCCCTTCCCCTTCCCCTTTTTTCTGTCCAACTCCGGATTTCCATCGTCCTCCTGGGAAGCAGTAGGATGTTCCACCACCAGCCTCCCAAAGAAATCCTTCGTAGGACCGAGGACCCTCTCTGTAGCATGCTGATGCTGACCTTTCTCTTCTTTTGACTTGGTGAACGAGAAATCCGTGTCGTCGTTGAGATTACCCGCTCTATACCGAGATTGACGCGCAGCGTTCTCACGGACGATGATATTCTTCTGGTATTCTTGGTCCAGGACTTGCCGCACGGCGTAGCGGACGGGTGCTGGTGCCGAGGAGGCGCTTGGGGTTGTCTCGAAGGTGACCAACATGTCGAGAGGTCTGAAAAGAGTTAGTAAGCTTACCATACCTCCCATCATAGAAGGAATCGAAAACTTACGGTTCCATACGGTAAACCCATTGAGTAGCTCGATTTCCAAAGTCACCCTCCAGTTTACCTCGTTCAAAAAGCACACCGATATCACCCATTACATCTACAGCCCTTTTCACCATCGCCTTCTCACTTTCTTTCTTTACACTTGTAATGCCTTTCTGTTCACCACTGCCACCAACGATAATGGGTTTGACCTCTGGAGTAATGATCCTGACAAGCGACGGTAGGAGATCCATCGCGATATCTTCGGGGCTTCGGAAACTTCTTAGAAGAGTCGGGTTGAGACTTGCCTGTAGAGCGAGAATGGTAGCTCGGTTACTTTTCTCCGCTTCGAATGCTTCGTAATCTGCCCGAGGACCAGAAAATGGAATAATATCCTCCATTTCTTCCTCCTCGCCCCATTTTTTGGTCTCGTTGCCGCCTCCGAAGTAATGACGTGCAGGTGAGGAGAAGAGATGATGGCAGGCAAGAATTGGCTGACTGAGGTATGGAGCTAGTTCGAATGCTTGTTGAGTAAATACTCGCGAAGAACATGTGTCGTGGAAATGTAACCATTCATATGCAGCATCGGGTTTCGATAATATCGAGTCATCATTAAAAGGCTGAGTGGGATATTGCGACCAGATATCGGTGACGATGCGGTCTATGTCGCCGCTTGTATCGACCATTTCTCTCAATCTATCCATTCCAGCCTTCTTAGCTAGTTCGGCAACGCCAAGTTGTGATTTTGGCAGCTCATTGGAAATACCAGGCGACGGATCATATTGTGAGGGTTTGGGGAATCCTGCACCCTCCAAGAAAACTCGGTTAACAACTTCCTTGGCACCTCCCCTTCCAACACCTCTTGCTCCTCCACCACCATGCGATAGATCTGAGGTCATATTTTGTTCAACCCATTTCTTCGTCAGTCGAGCCTTGCCATCTTTACTCGCTGCTTTCAATTTTCCTGCCGCCCATTCTCCGACAATCATAATTCCTCTTAGATCTCCTTCTCCTGTGCCTCCTCGCCCTTTTCGGGATTCGTTAGCACTTACTCCCCACGTAGCTTCACATAATCTTCGAACGGCATCATTGTCAGCGGAAACGCCCTCTTTCTCAAAAACCGACTTCATACGAGCAATGACTGCATCCAAAGGTGGTTTTCGAACGTGTATGATTTCGGCTAAATTCGAGTGGCGAAGGGGTCGAAGGGATGGATGGTAAACATCATTACAAATCAAAATTAGCGGTCGCATAAGCCTGAAATCATCGCCCTTTTTCTTCTTCCGTGCATAACCTGGGTTTGGATTAATTCCAGATGAATTCTTCTGATCAAGTTGAATGAGGTCAATTAACGCTTTGACGAAACCACCTTCGCCAGATCCTCCAGAGCCTCCAACAACACCATCAACCTCATCCACCACAACGCATAACGGGTGGGCAATCTTCTGAACATGACCATTTTTTAAAGTAACTGTCGATCCGGTCTTAACACTCTCCGTTCCAACGCTAGTTCTGATTCTTCCTTTGACGACATCCTTACTCCTCTCATCGCTTGCGTTGATTTCCATTACCTCGTATCCGGCTTGTCTTGCACAAATGTGAGCTAATGTCGTCTTTCCCAATCCTGGAGGTCCAGTCAAAAGTAAGATTTTCCTGTGAGTCTTCTCATCATCGACCTCACCTGGTCGTTTCGAGGCCATTACTTTGGCTTTACCGGCCTTTGGAAAGACAAGATGATCCCATGCCTTCAACCATTTAAGAACTTGCCGATGTGTTCTATCATCACCCACAAGCTCCATGAAATGCCTCGCTCGATATTTCTCGGTCCACATCAAGGTCCTACGTGGTTTTGCTTTTCCTACTGCCTGTTCAACTGAAGGTAAAACCTCCTTTGGTAGGTTTGCTCTTCTCTTTTGTTCTTTTTGTGTCTCCCGGGTGGCTTCGTCTATCAAATTATGAATGTCTATTCCATAGTAGCTCTTCTTCGCTCTTCCAGCTTTCGTTATCGATCTGGCTGCCACTAATTGTTCAAAGGACACGGGTGCCGACTTCTTTCTCTGTGGTAAGGAAATTGAATTCCCAGAGCACGTTACGATATCGGAAACTTTGGTTTGTCGACCGACGAGGAACGATGGCAGAACAGGTATCTCATCAACTTCTTTGGGTTGGGAATCTGGTGTGACAATCATTGGCTCGTCCATAATGTCTTCCTCAATGGCGGGGTTCACTCCAACCATGGAGCCAAGAAGTGATTGGAGTGATGTTTTCCCGGACCCTTCTTTATGGGTTTCCGTGTCAATGCCATCGTTGTTGATATTCTGTTGACTTTCTGGACTAGGTAGTCTCGCTGAGTCTAGCATCCGTCGTTTAGGAGATGGTTCGGCGCGAACGAAATCATCATCGTCCGAATCATCTTCAATCAAGAATCCTCCCACGGCTTTGGGCTTCCTAATAGCTTTTACGGACGGTCGTGATCGTTTTGCAGGAGGAGGAGACGAAGTTTGAGGGTATGCAATGGGCGAGGATGCAGACGGCATATTGAAGAGGGGAGGGGAAGAAGGGGGTGGTGGTAGGTAGGTGGAGGTTGATTTTCTGCGTAGGGGGGTTTCTAGATGCCTCCTTTCAGTATATGTTCGCGTCGATGAGCAGGGGAAGAATTTACCTGGCTCCAAATCCCCTTCGCTTGGGAACGAATCTCCCAGTCGCCAGGATCTATGCTGGATTACTACCCCGGCCTTGTTCTTTCGCGCAATATCCTCCGCGTGGATCTGGTTCAATGCCTCAAATTCATCCGAGTACGTGCTCGAGGCTAAAGTTTTGGGATCCAATTGATCTTCCCAATCTTCCAAAAGTGCGGGATCCGAGGTTGGTGGGAGATTTGGCGACGATGTTGGGTTCATTGTTTCTTGTATTTTGGGCCCCAGACTCGCGATCGCCGACGCGACGCGATTTCCACTTAAACTCGTCGGGGCAGACGGCCCGAAATTCGGAGAGTGAGTGCGATTGAAGCTCGGATGAACTCACAACGGGTAATGTTCGGCGTAAATATGGAGCTCCGTATCTGGTACGGCGAGGGCGGGTAGGGTATCTTTATTTTAGCTCCAGTTGATGACGATTAGAGCTGACGGGAACTGCCAGTGACTGCTATCTAGACACCTCAGTTATCCCCGCACTCTCTGGACCTGCTATCCCCATCAATACCAGTACATCAGCTTCCATACTCCTGGTTGCAGGGGATTCCCTTGGCTGCTCCCCTTTCTCAAATCATGAATCCCATATTACCGATACCTATACCATCTCCCGCTCTACAGCTGCCTGTCCCTTCTGTATCACCTGGACCACGACCTCGACCTCCAACCGGAAGCGACTTCACCGCATCACCCACCTTGACTGTAGAACCTGCCAATGCCTCTCCCGTGCCACCGCCTTCAAAGAAGAGACAGAAACGTAACAAGCCCACATTATCATGTGAGGAATGTGTAGAAAGAAAGACCAAGGTTGGTGGTATTTTGCTTGGGTGGTATCATATCATATAATTCAATCTTGAACACTGTCTACAAGTGCAATTGAAATCCAGGCCCCGAGTTCTGTTTTCTTGATCTTGCTGTTGATCGGGATCTGCCTCCATACATTCTGATGTCTATCTTTTCCCTTTTCCCTTTTCTCAATACTTCATATTTGCATCTCATCACTATTCCGGCTCGACCTTTTCATAGTGTTGATACCAATCCGGTTGATACGTGGCCCTAGTTTCGATCCGGACAGGCCTGATCGCTTTTTTATTGGGTCTTTACAAAATCTACCTGACCCAAGAACTTGCTGATTTTGGCCTCGTACTTGGACAATCTCGCTAACATTTCACAGTGTGATAGGGCAAGGCCCAGTTGCCTAGCGTGTCAGTACCAAAGAGCTACAGTATCGTTGTACGTTCTAAATCATAAAATGTATAAAACGACAATCAGGCTGCAAATATGCACATATCGCAAATATCCTCGTGTATGTGTCACTACAATTCATGGCAGGAGATTCTAATGACTGAATCGTAGAGAAACGTATCGTTCCATTGTTGGCATTAACGGTTCCAAAAAATCGCCAAATCCCAATTGCCCTACCAAGAATTGTTCCGAGGTTTCAAGAAATATCCGTAGTCATCACGAAAGAAGCATTTCTCGAGGCTCGGTTTCCTCTTATACTGGTCTCCTTTCTCACGTCCCATATTCCCATCCCTCCGCCTCAAACGTCTTTGGCATCGGTTCCGAGCATCCTTTTGCAAACCACTGGACATGTCAAGGTGGTTTACCAGAAGTAATAACCGTCCTCCCAGAAAAAGTACAAGCAGATATCCTTCTTGAGCGATACTTCGAATGTGTTGATCCCGTGTATCCCATGTTACATAGACAAACTTTCTACACAGATTATGATATGTTTTGTGCTCTTGATCGACCAGAAAAAGACAAATCAGATGGATCTTTCGTGGCATTAATCTTTGCCATGCTGGCTCTGGGAACTCAATTCGTTACTAATATCCCGCCAAAGGAGCGACAACAAAGTGCGGAATTTTGCGTTTCTGCAGCTCATCAGGCACTGAGAATGGCTTCTGTGACACCACTACCCGTTTCGTTCTCTGATTTTTATGGGGACTCATAGAGGGGAACGTGAAGTGAGTTATACCCCTATGTGACTTTTTAAGCCACTGAGTGTAAATTCATTTTTTTTCTTACCTCTTTCCCCTATGATTCCATGAGTGTAAAGTCTTTTTTTTTTCTTACCTGTTTCCACTCTACTACTATACTATACTATTCTATTTAGATGTTTATAACATATATTGAGACGGCCGACCTGGAATGTAGTCCCGTTCGTAGCGGGCATTATAGTTGCTATTGAACAGTAGGCTCTTTTATTGGTGTAAATAGTTTCTTTATGTGGACTTTAGTTCCTTTCATAGGGTTCTTGGTTATTTTCCTCTTTTAGTTTGTATTTTGTCTACGTTCGGATCTTTGATCTTGGCTCTGGTTAGGCTATTGAGAATCCTAGGGTTAATTTTCCTACTATAAAAACTTGTATTTGCTATTTGTACGTAAAAGATTATATTCTTATGTTTTTAGATAGGACGGTGCTTATAATAATAGACGATCCAGTAAGATGAATAAATATTTGTATAGGAAGTACAGTGTGAGGGTTGGAACCCATGATGGAGGCTCGGGCCATGCCCTCGCTAAGCACTGACCAAAGTCCTCGTTAAGCACTGACCAAAGTCCCTGCTTAGCACTGCCCATTACCCCACTGCCAAACAGGTTTCTACTTTTCCACACTTTCTTGTTTTGTTCTCCTGACATCATGTATTCGTCATTCAAGTTTCTTGCAAGTTTCTTGGAATATTCAGGAAGCTCTTCCTCTCTATATATAGAGGAAGAGCTCGCATGTATGTAGTCTTCACGCACTTCTTAATTGAATATTCGAAACCACACCTTTGAGCTATTCGAGGTCTGGCCTCTCACAAATATCTCCACTAATGGATCGTTCTAACTCTCCATACCCCCTAATTATCCAGCTAAATAATTTGTTAAGGTATAATAAAGGTATAATTAGAACCATTATAAGGTTTAGTCATAATCAAAGGTTTTATATGAGATCTATTAAGAGACAACTGCAATAATCTAATAATTCGATCTTTATCATCTCCACTCTATGGCTTAAAAAGTCACATAGGGGTATAACTCACTTCACGTTCCCCTCTATGAGTCCCTATAAAAATCAGAGAACGAAACGGGTAGTGGTATCACACTTATATGAACAAGCCTTCAGTTCGTTCAGTTCAGGCTATGGTTCTGATAACCTACTTTCTTATAAACGACAACCATGCATCTGATGGGTGAGTCATAGACCCATGTATCTCTAATATTAAGTACATACATAAACTAAGTTATTACGAACTAGTTGGGCATTCTCCGGTATACTAACCAGACAGGCGTATGCATTGGGTCTTCACCGTGATCCTAATATTGTCGTTGCAAACGCGACCTCTTGTAAGTAAAATAGCATGTCCAATATCTCCTACTTCTATGACTCGTCATGCTGCAACTTTCTGTCTATCAAATCTCTGATCAGTTCATCACTGATCTCCATCTAGTCGAAAAACAATCTCGCCTAAAACTATGGCAAGCCGTCCTCCTCCAAGACACCTTTCTCACAGTTCTCCTCTCCCTCCCACCATCAGCTACCCACACCGACGTCTCAGTAACATCCCTCTTTACCGACGACACTTCCTCCACAGACACCGCATACATAAATCTCTCCTGGCGTCTCGCATACCTAGTCCAACACTCCGTCTCCACCCCACGCCAAAACAAAGCTCCTCCAACAATTCCACGCAATCCACAGTTCCTTCCCCCACTCCTTCCTCACCCTCTCTCTCTCACCAATAACCCCCAACCCGGACATAAACATGAGCCCACTCTCTCCACAAATCCCCCATCAAGCCACCAGAACCCCGCTCCGAACCCTGCGTCAAACCCTCTTCCTAACCTCTAACTACCACCATAACATCATGCTTCTCCATTCCTCCTCCAGCTTGCAGGTTGCCATGGATATCCCTGGTGCGCTGGACGCTGCGCACTTCGCCATCCACGCGTTCTTCAAACTATGGGAGGTATTCCGAGCGGAGGCTAAGGTCTGGTGGGTATTTCATCATCGAGCCTTTTTGGAGGCACTGTGTATTGGGGGTATTTTGAAGGGGGATGATGAGGATAGTAGGAATCCGCGGTTAGCGGAGGATGATCCGTTTTTTGTTCGGGGGCGGGAGGATATTGGTATGTTGAGTTCCTGAGATGTGCATTGAATGGTTGAGCGGGAGTGAAAGTCATGCTAATAGGTTTGATAGTGAGGATGATCGATATTATGCGTCAGATGTCGGAGGGTGAACATGGGTCTAAGGTTGCGTTGACGAGGATCTCGGTTTTGAGTGCGTATATATGAGGGTGGAATTGTACATATGGGGATTCGGAATGTAGATACTATGAGTCTATGAGTTCAAGCCACCAAAGATTTTTTATCTCCACAGTGATTGTACCTTGCGATGGTGCATTTTCTTGGGAGTAATACTTTGCTTTGATAAAAGGTTTGGGCTATGTATTTGGCCGATGATCATAGGCTTCTACTGAGAAATGGCCAATCGAAGAAAAGGTACTCGGTTTGCGAGGGCTAAACGGCTTCTAGGTACAACACTCATTACAAAAGCTAGAAAATAACGAGAATGTTCCTCGCCTCCAATAACGGTACAATGATGTTACTGTAGCTATCACCAAGGCGTGCAAGAACTCCGTAACATAAGTAAAAAGCTAAAATCATCATTTCCTACCCTACCCTACCCTACTCACTTATTCTCCATGAGCTAAGACCCCAATATAGGTATCCTGAGATATTTGGATCAAGGGTTCGTTACAACATCGACTTTGTTTAAAAGCGAGGTGATAACTTTTGAAGGAAAATATTCAGGCTGGGGTATATTCGTGAACGACCATACTATTCAATTTTATCAGAATGATATCTTGGGGTTGTTTGGAGGATGTTTAAGTGCTTGTAATTGCTAAAATAGACGTATTCTGCAACTTTTCAGGGCCTTTTTACCCTAGGTCTGAAAAGTGGTAATGTAAATACAGGGTGGATTTGAGAGGAGGGGAAGTATCTAGCTATATTCGGTAAGGTGAACGTAGGTAATAGGGCCCTGGCTAGTATAATTTTGAATAGGTTGGGGTAGTTGGAAATACGTTACTAACCAAGCATTTCTCTCGAGTTTTTGAAATCTAAGGATACTGTACAGAAGTCTCTTTATTTACTTTCCCTTATCTCCTGGACAGCCAGGGGGATTCTTTGGCAAGGATTTGGCACTTCAAATCTCCGTACACCATAGAATTACAGCAAAAAAGCCGTGCACGTCCTTGATCTACTTGAAAAATCCCCCCGGCTGTTCAGGAGATATAAGGGAGGGCTTGGTTTCGATGTGTGGAAAGGTCTTATTTCTACAACGATATTTGTTGATATAAATGGGTTTGAAAGGGGGTATAGGGAGGGGCAAGGGGACTGAGCTTGTCACTTGGTGAATCTAGAAGAGCAACTGGTTGATAAAAGGCTTAACTTATGATCGTTTTTTACTCATTTTTGGGAGGGTTTAGGTCCATACAAGGTTGCAGAAGACGTTTGATGAAACGGGAATAATGAATGATCCTTGAAGGTTACTTACTCGAATGATCAAATTTCTTAAGTTTCGCTCTGGATGGGTGAGGGAATATGCGCGTAATGAAAGAGAGGTTTGTTAGATCGCATAGGAAACAAGATTGTACTTGGGAATTTGGAAGTGCTGCTTCACGAAGGTGTGTAAATGCAAATTAAGAGTTCATCTGAACGTGAGAGACTACTTAAGTGCGCATGTTAGAATGTGGAAAGTCACCTAGAGGCAATGGGTTGAGAGAGATCTTGATTCTTGGCTAGCTACTCATTCCACTTAGATGCAGATAACTCTTCTTGAGTGACCTCACAGCTCGTTTGTTCTCTTTACAAGGCCCTGATCGTCATCTTCATTTCCCCTCTTTTGCTTGGCCATCCTCGTCTAAGGGACACTTCTCAGCTATTTCATGCGTATGCCATCTGCAGCTTGTAGGAAGCTTTGTGCAAGGTATTTCTCCACGTTGTCGTATATCAACATCGAACTTTTTCCGAAAATGAAAATGTCTGTTTAAACCGAACATCAAGCAGCAAAAAAAGGATTGGTCCTCTCTGACATATTTCCAGAGTTCTTGCAAGCTGGACATTGCCAATTTCATATCCGATTGAACTATGCGTACCGTTGTCATTTGCTGAGCATACAAAGCAATGCAAAAATCCGTTATGTTCGATTGAACGGGTGTATTTTGGCACACGTCAAAGAAGGTTTTTGGCTCGAGTTTCGCGTTGCAGGCCAGAGAGATATCTTGAATGGCGTCGATTGTCATGTCCATCAAACGTACTTCGCAGATCTTTTCCGCGAAAACTAGAGGTCATGATTAGCTTCCGCTCAGTGACGATAGTGTGCTCCTCAACATACTGCACAGATAGAATAGGTTGTTGACATGGCTTTGGGTGTAGATCGATTCGATCTTGCCCTGATAGATCCAACCAACAAACAAGGCCATCATTTCTGGCTTCTCTTCCGGGAGATCCATCTTGCCATTTCGTTCTACGAAGCCTCCTTCAAACGCGGCGCGGAAGTAGGGTAAGGTGCAGATGAGCTTCTTGTGGACAGTGAACTTTTGACGATCAGGACCGACGAAGAGGGTTATGGTGTCTTCGCCCAGACGGCTACTCGGGTGGTTAGCGCGTACCTAGAATATGAGTGAGAGCGCCACTCACCTTGCGAAGCTGGTTTGAGGGGTGTTGTTGATACCCATGATGAGATCGTTGGTACCTTCCTCAGTCGCCGTGGCGGAGAAAGGATTTTGAAGAGTCGGAGGTTGTCGATATCTTGACCTGAGGTTGACCTGAGACAGGTTTGTCAAGAGGTAAGATTCTGGAGAGGTGAGATGGAAAGGTGATATGGAGAGGTGAGATAGAGAGGTGAGGTCGTCTAGAAGTGAACCCCAGTGTAGCAGCAGTGTGGGCAATAGTTATCTCAGTTCCGCTGGTTAGTTTGGTTAGTACAGTTTTCACGATATTTGGTACAGTTTTAAACGTAAAATCCAAACTACTGGTTAGTATAGTTTTGGCCGTTAAAACTGTGCAGTTTTAGAAGTTTTGTAAGACTATTTCATAGAGCCCTTAATAGGATACTTTTATAAGGTTGAGTGACTAGTCAGAGCTCCTAAGAGACGAACACGTGAACTTTTTTTTTTAGCAATTTGGACTCTTATAATTGGCTTAGTCTCACCGCCTACAAGCTCAAGGTTATTACTACAATCACGTGCTATACGTGGTGTACTTGTACAGGCCAAAAAACTCCCCCTTATTTTGTCTACTAGGTACATAATCTACTATAGGTACTAAACTCTAGACTTATCGCACTAATAGAACAATAATCCACCTATACCTAACTATACCTATAGGAAGTCTGGCCGCACGTTCAAACTAATTGAGAAGGCTTAAGAGAAGAGGACGAATTTATATATAAGAGGCAATTACTAAGTTAGAATAAAATTAATATACAGTTTTATAAAACTACGATAGTTTGCTTAGTTAGTTTTGTCTTTCTTTAGTACAGTTTTTAAAGATTAAACGAAACTATGGACAATTTTACAGTATATAAAACTAAGCACAAAACTGTGTAAACGGCACTATTGCCAACACAGGTGTAGCCAGCTACATATAGCGAATGATCTGCTCTGAGCTTGATGTCTAGATTCCACTCACAACCTTCACTGAGACTCCTGAGATGAGAGTTTAATCTGAGTGAATGCGGTACCCGACGGCCTAGCATTTCCGCTTTTGTATACTCCGTACCTATAGGGGATGTTTTTATATCACGTGAGGACAGACAAACAAGCGACAAGAGCTAGCCGTGGGGGCAGGAACCTTCAACGACTTCACATATCCTGTCCTTGGAACAGGATGTGTACGCTAGAGCCCTAGGGCTCTATCCTTCTCGCCCGCCACTATCCCCATTTGTACACCACCATTTGTATCCTTCTACTGTTGTAGCCAGCCTTTTTATTTCTGTTTAGAATAGGAATAGAAAGAGCGTTGTGGCACCCTGGGGCTTGGAGAGCCCCAGGTACTGGTCCCATATATGTGTCCCCTTCTCCCTCGTGAGCACTGAGCAGGACGAACGTGAATATAAAATGTAAAATAAATAAAAGAAAGGTAGAGACCAAAGTGCATATAAATTCTGTCCTTGCCTCACTTCATCATACAATGCACAACCTCAGAAAAAAGGCGCTTCAAAATGCCACTTGACTGGTTCACAAGACCCGATAGTCCTCAGCCTTTTCAGTATCTGTGTTTTATAGTAGAAGTGGAAGGACATGGTTTAGGTTGTAAGATATTTAGCTACGGATTATAAACAAATCCGTTTCTTCAAATCTTTTTGACAGTAGAACAGATAGCATATGGGTGATATCCACTCCCATCACGCCACAATCTATAGTATTTTCGGAGTTATAAACGAAAGCTTTGGGAATCTATTAGCATTCGAACAAAGAGTCCTACTACTTAACTACTACTTAGGTAGTATAGCGAAGTTAAATCATGTCGCTTATATTTATTTGGCGAAAAAGTAAGCGGATAGAGCGATTAGTATAATAACCAGACTGGGTCCGATATACCTCGTACTACTTAAGTAGGACTCTACTCTACTCTCCTCTACCTATTTCGAGCGCTAGAAAATATACAATACTCTTAAACAAGAAAAGATAGTAACCCAGTTATCTAAGTTATAAACCTATACACAGCCAGTATCCGAGCTTCATACAATCAATAACAATACGACTGTCTACTACCAAATCTACAAACCTTGAAAGTACCAACAATCCTCCCCGGCCAGCCTTCCCCACCCCGTGGTTCCTCTGATTCCTTCCCATCTACAAAGCAGTCTTGAGCTCCAAAGATCAAATAATCACACACCACACACCACCATATAATAACAGATCCCCTCAACACCATCATCTACAATTACTCAACCAATCATATATCCAAAGAAAGATCCAGATCCCACGACCCACCACCCATCCCCCACGTCTGTAGATATATCAAGGAAATCAATTAGCAAATAGATGAATGCAAACGCACCAAAGACTCATCGGCCACATACATAACATAGCCTGAACAACAAGACATCAGCTATCAAGTTCCACATTCCCCATCACGAATCAAGAGATTGAAAAAAAAAGGGGATACAATACTGTACACCCCCGAAATTCATTCAATTCAACCACCCTTCTATAACACGCTAGCTAAGTATCGAAAAAAAAAGTAAGCTTCATCCATCCATCCATCCAGTTCGTTTCCATTTCCCATTTCCCATTTACATATTCAAGTCCCTCGCTAACGCTAATCGAAAATGCCATTTCAAGCCATGCCATTCCAGCAAACAAAAAAACAGAAACCCCCCGGCATTCATATCAAACCATTCCCGTCGACTTCATACAAGTAAATCCCCTTTTGCACAATTCAACCCCCAAAAAACGAGGGCAGGCAAGGAAAAGGCTTCAATAGACCTGCTGATGTATCTAGCAAGCCCTATAACGTAGTTCTCATCAGTAAACGTAAGAAAAGAGGAGGAGGAGAAGAAGAAGAAGAAGAAGAAGAAGAAGAAGAAGAAGAAGAAGAAGAAATAGCAAACGTATTCGAATCACTCCCGAATCTTCTCGCCTGCTATAAAATCTCACGAGGAAAAGGGAGATAGACTCAAACACCCGCTAAAACAAATATCGACAACGAAGAGAAGTTTTTCTGCGCCCGACCACTCGACGCATGGATGACAAATCTTTTCATCGTCTCCTATCACCACTCCCTCGAAGTTGGTTTCGAATCCATGATAAAGGTCCACTAGCACCCCCAGTCCCAGCCTCAGATCTAGACTCGGAACCTCGTGGGGAAGCTTGCCCGGAGCTACGTCTCTGAGCTCTCTGCTCACTATCCCTACTACTTCGCGAGTTTCCTGTATCATGACGATGGTATCTCGGTCTCGGAAACAAAAGGATACGTGCATGCTCTTCTCGAGTTCGTTGTTCCGAGGCTGAAAGTAAACTATAATTTGAACTGCGTCTTGACCAACTAGGACGGGGGACTGGATCCGTCAGAGATTCTTGAGTTGGTGTTAGTCTTCCAGCATTGCGGATGGCGTCTAACCTGGCTTCCTGGTTTCTTCTCTCGGTCTCGCTTCTGCCACCTGTGGTATTGCTTCTGCTTAGTCTCTCTCTGGCACCAAAGCTCATTCTATGGGTTCGCTGACCAGTTCCAAATGATTGATTGCTAGCGCTGGCTCTTCGGCCGTGGGAAGTCGTAGCCTCATCCACACGATCGATTCCTTTTCGGCATATTGGGCAAGTATTGTGTTCACCTAGCCATGCTGCGGCACATGTTTCGTGAAACCAATGCGAACATGGTAAAGAGACAACCTCATCGCCTAAATGAACATCATCCATGCACACGGGACAGTCGGCTTTTCCCTCAGGGCCAAGCATCTTCTCATCCAATTTCTTCTTTGGTAAAGCTGCAATCGCATCTGGAGGTGCTGGACCGGGAGCAGTGGATGTTGGGTGCTGCTCCATCAAGGTTGAAATGATCTGATCCAGTGCTTCTTGGGAATAAACAGCATCTCCAGATCTTGCATTTGCTGGATTTAGCATAGCTTGAAAGAGACCACGGAGACCTTGTGGTAATCCATTACCAGCTTCAAAGCCATGGTGGTGATGATGGTTAGGATCATTAGGGTCATGGGCATGCTCGTGTTGATCGTGATCATGAGCATTTACGCCACCCATAGGAGCGAACATGCTTGCAAGTAGCCTGGTTGGTTCGTCAGGACTGTCTCTTCTAGAAATAACAACGTGATAACCTCCACTGGGAGGGATAGAAGGGAGTCGCGAAAAGAGGGGTGGATCGTACGAAGTTATGTCATCAATGGGTGGCCCTCCAGGCTGAGGACCATTCACATCTCTAGGTCGCAATCCTGAGTGAAAAGTGATTCTTGATCCCACGAACCTCTGCCCATTAGGAGTTTGGCCATTATAGGACTGGAAATTAGTTCCTCCACCAAATGGATCTCCTGGGAACAATGTCTCCCGACCTGATCTCCCAACTTGACCAGGCTCAAGTCCGGAGGGTGCCAGAATTGAAGTTAATATGCTCTGAAAGCCAGACATTATAGCGGCCGGATCGTTTGGGTTTGGGTTGTTCTCGTGGTTGTGTGGAATTGATTGTCTGCGTGTTATTCGAGTGATATTAGGGCCCGTGTGGCGAACAGTTTGCGTAAAGAGGAGGCCTCCTCGTGGGCTATGAGTGATGGATTCTTCGATATCTGCCTCTTCGGGGTCCGAATTGGATTCTTCCCATGGGTTGTGATTATGGAGACCTCGAATGTCCGGTGGGATATTCGGTGGCGTGCTTTCTGGTCTTGGATCGTTATCTGGAGTTATCTGAGATGGTCAGTAAGATATCAAGGAGTATGACAGGAGTATACCAAGGTCCTTACGATTTCCGTCACCTCGCCTTCGCAGGTAGGGCATACTAAGCGATGGTCTTCGAAATACCACTCAGAACGACATTGGTGGCAAAATACAACCTCTCTCTCACGGGCATCCAGCCGTCGTCCTTCACCTCGGCCATATCTAGAATCTGCCATCGCTCCTTGGAGACCGTTGTAGGCGGCGAAAGCTGTCAAGCCGAGACTTACAGCCAGGCCAGTATCGCGGAGGAGCCGGAAAGCCGTTTTGAAGAGGCTCGCCTGGACAGGCACTATCTCTGGGGAGGGCGACTATATGGGGGGAGTTGGGGAATGATTGTTGGCGGCGTTGCGTTTGTGCCAACAGCTACACCTAGACGACACTGGTGGTGTAAAGCAAGCACAACTCTGGTGAAAGGTCTCGCGGGACCTGAGATGGCTGCAAACCAAGCACTACGGTTCTCTGCCTCGTGGTTGACCTGGACTGTGGTTGCTGTGAGAGGGGGGGCGGAGGCGCAGCTTGATAGGCGTGATGGATGTGATGGGCGTAGTAATCACGATGAAGATGAGGACGAGGGGTATTCGGTAGGGGATCAAGTACACTCGGCGGCTGAGTTGTTTAAATACGCCGGAGACGGAGATGGAGACGACACTGCTGTGATTGTACGAGGGAGTCCGATGCAGAACGCGGCTGAGCAAGGCGTGGGCGTGATGGCGACGCAGGTTTGTGAGTAACAGCGTGTTCGGGCTTAGAATCCCTAGTACATTGATACGAGTAGGTATACTCCGTATGGCGAAATGCTGTGCAAGTAGCGCGTAGACGTACTGGAAGGGACCCTGTGCCTGTATGAGCCTGTCCTGTGAGGTCAGGTCAGGTCTTCAAGGTTGGCCTCGATCGCTGACTTGGGTGACTTGGGAGTGACGCAGTAGAGGATGATCCCTGTCAACCAACGCTATTTCAACCCATCGAACTCGCAGCTCAATTCAGTGACATCCTACTTGGGCTCTGTTTACTGGGTACTCAGGATAATGCAAACAAATCCTCAGTCAGTGAGTAGTCGGGATTGTGGTTTATCAACTTCATGAATTGGCTGGTGTTGGGTTAGAGAGACGTGGTCTTTATCGTCTTGTCATCTCGTCTCCTTCACTTCTGTCGTCTTCTTTGCCCTTCCTTTCCTTTTCTTGGAGTCTCACCGAAACCTCCCTTCTGGGCTACAGTAATATGACAGGCGACTCGCTCCGAAAACGCTCTCTTACCACTGCCCCGCTAAAGCTATCACAAATTCCCCCGCTACTTTTGCTTGTATCAATTCTTCCGAGAAAAAATAGTCCATGTCCATTACTTTGCTAATGTGTCAAATTAACTATCATCTCAGACCCAAGCTATCACTATCACAGCGCGAGTAGAACAAGTTGGAGGGGAATATCATCCATGTTCGTTACTCCTAACACATTTCGTAAACACATCCTACCCATGCCATAAAAAGGTACTCATACAAGACAACCCCTAACCCCAAACAATCGAATCAAGCCTCCCACCATTATCATGAATTCCCCATTTGCATTCCCAAATAAAAAATCTTCATTCATAATCATACCCCTCGGCACTACCTCTTTTTCGCACCCATCCCCTTGAAAATAAGACCACCAACCACACCCGCCGCGATCGCCACCCCACTCAGAATCGCAACGCCCATCAGTCCCTCCTTAGCGACCTTATCATCGATCAAGCCCCTCAGACTCTCGGCTTGCAGGTTGGCGGGTTCTTTATCCAGCAACAGATCGTTATACCGCCGTGACTCTGCGTAGTTTCCAAGCTTGTAGTTTCCGAGGGCGAGGTAGTACAGGCATTCTCGTCGACGCTCGGGAGACGTGCGGAAGATGTCTGAGAGGAGACGGACGCCCTCTTGTTGATCGTTGCGTGCGTTGGATTTAATGAGGCCCTGGTAACCCAGAGATTAGGATGGGGGTGGCAGAGAGGAAAAGAGGAATCCATACCCAAGCAAAGTTGAATTTCGTTTGGACCCCGACATGGACGCCCTCCTTTTCATATTGAGAGCGAAGGACTTGAAGCTCGGCTGGCTTCAGTGGGCTGCGGGCTGGTCAGCGTTGGCTCTCCTCGGGCCTGAGGAGTTTTTGCATTCATTGGAGAGTGTTCGTCTTGGGCAGGAAGGAGCAAAAAGTACGGACCTTTCAGCGTCGGCGGCGTCTAGCATCACCCGTCTGGTTAGCAAAGCCGTTTCCAGTTGATATGCGTAAAGAAAAATGGCAAAGCGGGTATAGAGCTTCGCATTCAAAGTTTGATTAGGATTAGACATATTTGAACTTACATGGTAATGAACCCATCTTGAGTTTGATATTTGATATTCTGGGTATGCGATTAGAAAGTCGGTAGAATTGGATTTGAGGAAGTCGCGATGTATGAGTAGACTGAATAGTAGGTACATGTATGATTGGGGACGTTCAACAGATCGAAGCTGGGTGTGGCGTAGTGGCTTGTGATCTTGCGGGTACGTCACCAGGTTTTCGTCCTTCGGGGGGGTAAGGCTCTTCGCTTCTTCACTGATTCGTTGCACGTGGTTGCTGGGCAGTTGCTATGGGGCGTACTTTCCGCGATAAACATTCACGATCCTCATCATCGCTTCGTACAACTGTCGCAAACCACTTCAAACCACAGATAACCCAATACAACCTTCCCACGCACAATATGCTTCTCGACGAGAATCCCGCGCTGGTAAGTTGAATTCCCGCCATCGCGCACATTTTTCTAACATCGCACAGCTCATCCAACACACTCTTGGAAACTTCAACATCGCGCCCGACAAGGCCGCAGTCGCGCGAATCAATGATTCCCTCTCCACCCTCGAACAAGCACGAAACCTCCGAATGCGAGAGGCAGAAAGCTCATTAAAAAGTACGCATCAAACCTGCTACCTGCACAAGCACCACCGCTATTCGACCGCGACTAATACCACATAAACAGAACTCTCCCGAACCCTCACAACCCTAAACAACAATCACCATGACACCGTCAACTCCCATTCCGCCGCCTCCCACGCCTCCGAAATCGCCTCGCTCGACACCCAAAAATTCCGCATCGCAAAAGCCGCCACAGACCTCGAGATAGAAGCAGAACGTCTCTCGTCTCAACTAGCAGATCTCCAGTCGCGGCTTTCAGAACTCGAATTACAGGGTGCCGAAGGCGGCGTCGAGACGGAGAAACGACAGGCTCTGCTGCAGGATGAATTGAGTCTGAAATTGAAGATTTACAGGAGTCTGGGCTTTGATTTGGAGAAGGACGGTGGGGAGGAGTATAATAAGGTGGTGGTGAGGAATGGGAAGAAGGGTGATGTGCATATTGTGAATATGGAGACCGGCAAGTTTTCGAGGCACTTTTATGCGGGGTACTTTTGGAATACTGTTTGAGATACGGGGTGGGATGTATGGAACGATCTAAGGTATGAATAATGAGTTGTGGGACAGGTTGCTCCAAGGCGGGCATTGGAGTTTGGGCGTTACTTGATACACTGAATACCATTAGGATCGGCAGGCGTGTACAAGTTTTTGTTTACAGTTGCATTGTGTAATACACGATTTCCAAGCAACGGATTGCTAAGGCTTCCACATAGGCCAATTCCGCCCTAGATACTATCTCTGTTTTCAAGCAACACTCGAAAGCATCCTTACCCCCTCCTTTCCTTTCACATCTTTTTGAAGTCTTTTCTGTCTGATAATCATAAAGTGCAACTCTTTTTTAGACATGTCACCGCCCCTTCATACTCCCCGAACTCTTGGAGCTTCCGCTGCTCCCTCCACTCCCATTACCATTTGTTTTCCCCTTCCCGCCACTCATCATGAACACCCCCTTCTCAAAAGCATCTTTTTCTTGTCCAGCACCAGCACCACCAAGGTTGGTCGTAGGCGGAGTTCTCGCTCTGCCAGTGTTCATTGCCATGCCCGGTGTCTCCTCGTCCTTCCTTCCTCTCTTCACTTCCGCCATCCCCAAAGCACCGCCAAATGGATTAATGGTTGAAGGTAAACTACCCGATGTCATACTCCTCTTATGTCTCCGTCCATGATCGGCGGGTAACTCAAGCCTGGAGTTGATCTTCGTCCAGAGACCTTCCTCTTCCTCACTTTGGTTATCGAGTCTCCATCCTCCAACGCCTTCAAAGTCCCGACTTGGACCAATCGATGTATTGAGACCAATGTACGAACTGGGACTGGTGAGGATGTCTTGGGGGTCAGTCATGGATTGCGTCAGTGTGGGTGTGATTGAACCTGCGACACTATACGACGAACTCGAAGAAGTGCGGCGTTTTCGTCGTCGATACGAGGGCTGAGGTGGTGAGGGAAGGGAGTGTTGGCCATTTGTATGTACAGGATGGATCAATTTCGGCGCAGTGCTGCCGCCGAGTAGATAATGCGGGATCGCGGCGACGGCCAGGTCAATGTAAATCAATGTGAATCGAAACAAGAGGACTGAAACAGCGAGACAGGTTGTAAAGACCGCGAAGATGGTGACCGGGAGAGAGAAAATGAATAGGAGAGGGAGGGTCAGGGCCTTGCTGAGGATTGCCATTCTGCTGCTGCTGCTACTGCTACTGCTACTGCGTCGTTGCGGATGGTTGTCTCATTCATCCTCAATCAACAGGTGTCGTTGAGGAATCTCGGCAAGGGCAATACGGAGAAGGGGGAGAAGGGATTTCTGGTGAAACAAAGTTCATGAGGGGCTTCGACGGCGTGAAGGAGAGTTTGAATGACGGCTGGCTCTTAAGGTCCAAACGGCTTTACATGTGATGGAATGTGGGGGAAGCGAGGCCTGGAATGGGCAGGGGCCGCCCGTGGCGGTGCGAGAAAGGTGGGGCGAAAGAGCGATCTGGGGAAAAGCGAAACCTTATCGAACGAACTGAACGGAACTTTACCGACTCCATTGGATTTGCGCAGGCGACGGGAAGACATCAGGAGTATTTCCGTAAGCGAAAAAAAAAAAGTCGCCGCGATGTGCAATTCAGATGAGCATCCATCAGATGTCCTGGACATCGCACCAATAAGCCACGATGAAGAGCCTTTCCCCTGGCACTTGGGCGTATACGATGCTCATTGTCATCCAACTGATGTTATGGGACAAGTTCCTGAAATTCCGGGGATGAAAGCTAGGGTATTGACGGTTATGGGCACAAGAGGGGAGGATCAGGAACTGGTTGCCCAAGTCGCTAACACATATGGCGTAAAGCCATCCTCGGCACTGGAAAACCTGTCAACAGAAGAATGTATGATACCTTGTTTTGGCTGGCATCCGTGGTTTTCGCATCAAATGTATGACGATACTCTATCAGAACCAAGCAATCTAAATTCAGAAGCCTTCAACAGAATACATTACCAATCCGTCTTGACACCTAGACCGGAAGATGCGGACTTTCTCGAGTGCCTACCCCAGCCACGGTCTTTGAAGGCATTTTTATTGGAAACCAAGAATTATCTGGAGAAATACCCTCTCGCACTAGTCGGAGAAATAGGGCTGGATAAAGGTTTCCGTCTTCCTGGACCATGGACACCAGAACTCCTGGCCTCGAGGGATACCACCCTCACGCTCGGAGGACGAGAAGGGCGACCTCTCACACCTTACCGAGTGTCCATGGACCATCAGAAGTCGATTCTGAAGGCGCAGTTGAAGCTAGCTGGGGAAATGAACCGGGCGGTTTCTGTTCATGGTGTGCAAGCTCATGGCTTCCTCTTCGATACTCTGAAAGAAAGCTGGAAAGGCCATGAAGTCGAAGTACTGAGCAAGAGGGAGAGAAGAAAGACTGCGGGCATGCCAGATCATGTCGAGGAAGATGAAGACCAGACAATCTCTAAAGCGGAGATTGGAAAACCATTCCCTCCAAGGATATGTCTACACTCTTACTCGGGCCCTCCGGAAACATTGAAACAATACTATCATCCTTCAACGCCTGCAGACATTTACTTTTCCTTTTCTGAGGTCATCAATATGGCGCCATCAACGAGTGCAAAATCTATTGAAGTCTTGAAGTTGGTTCCCGAGGAGATGATCTTGGTGGAAAGTGATTTGCATATGGCAGGTAGTGTTATGGATGGAAAATTAGAAATAATGGTTAGAAGGATTTGTGAGGTTGAGGAATGGTCATTGGAGGATGGCGTAAAAAGGTTGGGGGCAAATTGGAAGCGGTTTGTGTTTGGTTGACATCAGGTGTTTAATGGCCAAGGCAATACTATACACGGGCATGCGATTAAGAACAATAAAACAAAAAGGCCAAAGCGCCTTGAGACTACAGTCATGAATGCCCATGTCTCCTCATCGCAATATCACTTAGTCGTTGGCTTTATGGCGTATATCTGGAAGGAAGCTATCAATCGTCAGTCAAGATAGCCAGGAGTCACATTTCAAGACGATCATACCAGCCCACTCATTGAAGTCCAAATTTTCCAGTGAAGCTACCAACTTCTTAGACTCACTCCCCAATGTGTTTTCTTGTGGCAATGAGACTTGTCCACAACCAGCTTTACTCTGTCCACATCCAGCTGGGGCTACAGGGCCACAACATGAAGAATCATCTGAAACTGCAGTATGATAAACATTCAAGTCATTTTTGCTGTCCACTATGAGGAGATCTATCACGAAAAGGTTAGTCTTCGTACGCTTTTCGAATACGAATTCAAAGACAAACCATTAAACCCGGCTTTCTGGAGATACTCCTCATACTGGTTGACTTGACTTGCTCCTGAGATGCATCCCACATACAAAGACATATTCTTCTTCAAGTCTTCAGTCAACTCCTTTCGTGCCAGGATATCGCTGACTGCAACACGACCACCGCTTTTGAGAACACGGTACATCTCATTGAAAACAAGCTGTTTTTCCATTCCGGGCACCAGGTTGATGACACAGTTACTGATGATACAGTCCGCTGTGTTGTCTGGCAATGGAATGCAAGTGATTGCTCCCTCGAGAAACTCAACATTCTCAAAGTTGCCTTTTGACTTAATGGCCTTTGCTTTATCAATCATATTCTATTTCAAATCATTAACACCAAAACAATATTTCTGGGTTCTCTCGCGAGGTGAGGGAATACCTTATTCATATCAACCCCAATAGCCTTCCCCGACACCCCGACTTTCTTGGCAGCAGCGAAGACATCGAAACCAGCCCCAGATCCAAGGTCGATGATAGTTTCTCCCTTTTCAAACAGTCAGGTAATGCCATAGACACAAAGAAACGAAACGAGTACATCTTTCAACTTAGCCAACGCAAGGGGATTCCCACAGCTCAACCCTAGATTCGCACCTTCAGGGACACTTGCGAGTTCCTCGGAGGTGTAGCCGAATGCTTTTGCAACGGTCTGCTCGTATTGGCCGTTGGTGCTTTGGTTTATGGAGCCGTAGCGTTTGTTGACTTCGTTGTAGATTTCTTTGGTGTCCATTTTATTGGGTTAGGTAGACGATGATGATCTATGAGAAAGATTGAAGGAATGAATTTAGTCTTTGGGTTTTGGTAATAGAGAAGAGGATTTGGAAGGGTGATGAATGAATACTTACCTACCTATATATCGTGGTTTTATCACATGACTGGTATCACTTGGCAGGTGGGTCATCCAATAGCATTAGAGCAGTGACATCTCGCTCGAAAGTCGCACTTAGTCATTGCCCTCTTATCGAGGATTCTAGGAACTTCAGGTGCAATTTGTGATTTTTCTAATCAAGTGGCCTAGGGTGGATTTCTAAGATAATAAAGAGTGATGGTGATGGTGGATTAATGCCACTATCTCTGTCCATCAGCCTTCAGAAGCAGCACTACCTAAACCCTACATTACTACATCACTCACTCTGTTTTGCAGCTTGTGTCAAGAAAGGTGTTTGAGATGTTTTATTAATACTTGGACTATCCCAAAATTGAGAAGTCTTCATAATAACTATAAATCAATTATATTATATCTAAGCTTAACTTTGAGACAAGCTTGATCACTTGTGTATGCATATAGGGGTTAATTGTTGTAACCTCTAGGTATGTTTTACTTTTACCATAATTTTCACATCACTTTTTGAGAATTGAAATTCGTAGTTTTATCAAGTCTGTTGTTTTGCTCTTCTAATGCAGCGTGGTTTGTTCTAGACCGTTCCGTAAGCCAAAGGTAGAGTTCTCCTCCTATTATGTTATTGTATGGATTCTTGCACGCTCTGGTGGTGGCCGATAGGTTTGTCCTAGATCTGGGGAGAGGTCGAATATGTCTAGTAATTTCTCTGTCCCTCAGAAAATTATATCTCGTGTATCGTTTGGAAACTTTTCAATGAGTGTTCTAGTGCATTTGGTGAGAGAAAGTGTTGCTACTATTGTTGTCACAATACTCGAATAGTCCTATTGTGACAGGGCTCGCAGGGGTGCGCAATGGGTCACTGCACAAGCTGTGGCTGAGGAAGCTCCAGCCACCTCTCCGCCCAGTAGGTGAATGTTTTATCAGGAGCTATTGTTGCGCGCATTCGTCCCCCACCAAAAAACTAACTACAACCTCAGTTTCCTTAGCCAAAATATTTTACCATGCCCATGCGCTGCTTCTATCCTCTGTTAAACTTCTCCTGAACATATTTCGTTTTTATCTACAGCAAAACTCCGCCAATCTCCGACGGATCTTTACTCTCCTACTCCTCAGCGCATCTTGCGGCGCACAAAATCTTCTGCCCCTCATTGCGCCCTACCAAATTTCTTCAGTTGAGAGATGTCTCGTGGCGGTAGAGGAAAAGCTGGTCGTGCCGGGTTACGAGGAGCTGACTGGCCAGAATATGATCCTGAGGGCAAAGTAGATGGCAAGCCTATTGGCGATTACCCCGTAGGGCAAACCAGTCTCCAGCAAGATGAAATATTTGGGTCTAATAAATTTTCTAGCCTCATCCTGATCTCAAGAGACCATGCGCATTCACCGATGACGAAGAGCGACAATTCAAATACTACAAAACCCTACAAACAGAAGTCCGTCGCGGGCCCCTCTATACCCAGCCCACGAAGCCCAATCTCGATACTTCAATCAAGACATACAGCGAAGACCAATTCAATAAGCAATATGGGACAGATCGAAAGGCGGACATGGATCCTTTCGAGGGCGTCGAAACATACTCTATGAGATATCAACCACCAAAGAATGTCATACCAAAGCTGTCTGGTCGGCCATTCAGTGAGTGATTCTTAAGCTGTGAGTCAGGGCAAAGAACTAAATTCTGGCAGTTATGGAATTTTTCCCAGCAGAGTTGTGGAGTACACTCGAAGGCAAGGCAGGCGACAAAGTTCGGAATGGTATCAATGAAGCTATGCAAAGAAAGGGGACGAGTTCTGGTTGGGCTGGCGCAAACGGGAAAGACCGAACCCAAGCACTCAATGATAGATTACTCGAATTGGACGACGATGAAGACGAAGAGGAAAAGGAGAAGGAGGGTGTTGTTGAAGGTAAAGCCTTTCGGAGATTCCATCTAGAATTGCTGCTAACAATTTCCACAGATCTCGACTCGGACTATTCAGATGACGACGGGGGTGATGATTACAATGCCGAACAATACTTTGACAATGGCGATGAAGAAGACGATGGCGATGCTGACGACGGAGGAGGGGGAGATTACTAGGCCGTTGGCTAGGTAAATGTGTTTAGTCTGGAGGATTTTCCGTTGCGATCCACAGCTTTCGGAGCAACGATTGTCATATGGGTTGATTTTAGCGAGGCGTTGGTGGTCTTTTGCAAATTGCAGTATCTATGCGATTGCTGGCCTTGTTTTGCAGTGTGCACATGGGAGACAAAAGTGTCGTACGTTTGGGGAAAAGTGTATATACAAATACATATACCTTGGGATTTCAGAATCCCATGTATGATCTCTTCTTTCCCGTGATTTCTCGTGTGTTTCCTCCTCTGCTAAGTGACAGCTTCTCGGTTGACAAACATATTAGCAGTAATCGCTGTAATTCTTTGATGAAAAGTATAATAAGTATAACAAGTATGATTCAAAGATGACAATTACCCAAGGTTTTCCTCGAGACTTGTGACAAGCTCTGTTGGCGATACATCGACACTGCCAAAGAAGTCGAATACATTGTATCCTATGAAGGGCTAGGGTGACGATATTATTCTTGTAGAGAGTTTCTATAGTAGCACTACATCGTCGAATTAAGACCTAGGCGGGCTCGATCGGGTCATAGGCCCAACAAGTGAGGGAGGGTATCGTGGGAATGACTATTATAAGGCAGAACCCGCCCAAAAAGGAGATAGAGCCTTTGTTGTAACATTTCCATTCTTGGTATACATCTATAAGTATTGTAATTTAGTCCGCACTGTGAGCGTTATATATCTAAGTTACGGTGCAGAGGACTGAGTATTAGCCAAGTACAGTTCTTTTTATACTTGTATAAGGGTGCTCGTGGGGATAGATATAAGATACCTACCTAGGTAATACCTTGTAAGACAAAAATCTATATACTATATAGATTATTATACTAGACGACTGGTGATAATAAACAAGCTGTCTTAGTACATGGTCTATAAGAAGACGAGAGTAAAAAGAAATGATTAGAACCCGTCTATACTACGATTTTTACATATATTACTGGTAGGCTTTAGAGACTATGTTATTCTAGGCTGGGTGTATAGAGAGTACTGATTGTTATATCTAGTTTTCGTATACCGTACTGTACTCTATTATCGCAAAAAGACTGAAATCAACTCTTCACTCTTACTATACATGGGAAGTCAGTAACCCAGCCTTGGAAGAATTTGTGGGCAGACTCGGATCTTTGTTTCGTTTCTGTTCAAGTCTAGAAGCATTCAATGAATGTGACGGTTCTGACTGTCACGTGCCATTCATATCACGTGGCCTCCTTAGCGAACCCCATTGTATTTAGACTCAAGCTCTCCCGAGCTCTCCTCTTCTCCTCAGCTTAGAATCTTCGAATGGACAGTTCTACGATTCCATAACCTACACCTTGGACGCTCCTTGAGCAACACATCGTACGTGTCGTCACAATGAACGGTTATGTTCGTTTTTAATTTTCATCAAGTGATTGAATAGGTTGCTTGACCTACAGTACATCAAGAGATCTTAGACCATAATGATCTCCCTATTATATCTATTGAACATAATGGATCTTTCCATACTATTGTTTATGAAGGTCCTACGTCCTTCTAGGTAGATGATCTCTTTTACTCCCTGGCGCCATACACTAATGTCCGAAAAAAAGGAGCTTCCACTTCAAATGCTCAGTCTCCCTGGTACAATTTATTATCAATCCCATTGGACAAGCCCTCTTCTTCGATTCATTATGCGTGCACCAGATTTCCTAATGATGATCCTCAACCCCAAAGAACAAAACACCAATTCAATGGCTCATACCACTTCCAATCCCTATTTATCTTGAGAAACAAAACAGGATCTTAATCCCTCTAACCTCCACACACATACAAAATAAAGCAGGGGTCTTGAAATGACCACCTCTTCTCTCTACGCACTAAGCTTACCCACATGACGTCGTCGTTCTTAACATGGCCGAACCAAAATGGACCTCCAATATGCATTCATGAGTGAATTCCCCGTGTAAGTACGAGGAAGCAGTTGGTTTACAATCGAATCGGACTTCACAGTGGAAGCAAGACCTTTCTTGTTGGTGTTCTGGTTTCCTTCCATTGCCATTGGACGCTAGTATGTGAAACAGCAGAGGTCATTCAATTGGCTCAATATGCGAGCACGTGAGCGACCATCACTGCACCGAAAAACATCATCTGTGTTCCCCTTATCCCTACATGAGCTCACTGATTGTATCCGGCGAGCTGCGACAAGATTGGGATATACTTGTGTATTATCCAATTCTTACCTCGGCAATGACACGATCGTTGGCGTTGATATTGGTGGGGTACAATGCTACTGTGCCTCTGATGTCGCCTGACGAAAGTAGATTAGCCAGGCACCAGCAAATGCCCCCCTTTTCAAAAAGAATTTCTGCTATCTTACGTACGGCGGCTGGTGGCGTGCATGATGGCGCGAAGCAGCGCAGGTGTTATTGGTAGGATAGCAAATTATCAAGCCTTAATTCTTGATGCAAGCGCCCTTTTATTTTGCTTCTTTTTTTCTTCTTGACTTCAGAGCTCGCTCTGTTCATACTTGCTTCTCTTCTTTCCTACCCTCGATACTCGGTTAGGCCTATACTCGGTCGCCTGGAGCTCTGGGGAGATTTTTAGCCGTCTTACGGAGTGCTTCTTCTCTACATCAAATTTTCGAGGTCTGGGCCCGAATGGCCCGTTCCTCCAATCTTCTGCCCCTCTCACCTCGCTGACCGACCAAATCCCTGGGTTGTAAAATCCGAGATGGATTGGCTGTAAGGCACAGCACGGTTCATTGAAAGCTGCCATAATGGGCAATATCTGACGCCAAAGTGGGTTTTCTTAGACCTCGGACTCTGTGCATCAGTGGAGCTCGCCCTGTGGGGAATTATATCTATGTACTCGGTTAAAAGCTTGCCTCTCAGATGCAGTTCCAACACAAGTGTGCGATGATCTTGCTTATAGAAGCTCTCTGAGTGGCTCGTTTATCGTTATTTGTCCCTGACTTGCGTCTCGGCAGGGATTATTGCTTATTTTTCTCGGCCGTTCCCGATTCATTCTACGACTTATCCCCTGCTATACACTACTGTGCGAACGTATTTCCTCATTCGGCTTGCAGACTCATTTCACTAGCACTCGAAGGGAGGGTCAGTTTACTCTGGACCTGGGTCGGATAATGCCGCAGATCAATTGTATACACAATGTCCTACGGTCCAGGAAGATATCCCATATTGCCAAGCCAAAGGAAAGAAAATAGTTCTCTCACTTGGAGGTGCCGCCAGAGATTACCAACTCACAGGCAAAGACGCTGGCATAGAATTCGCGGACTTCCTTTTGGGTGCTTATGGGCCACTCACTGATGCATGGAAAGCCTCGAATGGCATTCGGCCACTTGATAGAGGGTAAGTCTCGCACCAACCTGTCCCCATATCTACAATTAACCATTACATAGGTATTCCAACACTACCTCAGACACAATCGACATTGATGGATTCGATTTTGATATCGAGCATACTTCAACAGATCAGCAGCATGGTTACGTTTCATGTATCCATAGGCTCCGCGCGCTTTTCGCTACTAACAGCAAGAAGTATCTTATCACTGGCGCACCACAATGCTATCTGCCCGAAGTCAACATGGGAGGCATGATTGCTCAGGCCCAGTTTGATATTCTCTGGATCCAATTCTACAACAACCCTTCGTGCTCCGTCAGAAACTTTGCCGAAAACAACATTGACATTAATTACAACACATGGAAATCTCAACTGGCTGGTGGTGCAAGCAGTGGAGCTCAACTCTACATTGGTATTCCTGGAGTAAGTTACATATTATTCTATAAGTGTTGGCAATGGGCATTCAAACACTTGCCTTATTCAGACTCTCTATAAGTTCACTCGGCCCATTATCATGAATATCTGCGAGCTCCTCGACAGAATTGTTAAGGAGGCCGCAGACACGTTCAAATGAAGGCTTCCTGTATAACAATAACTGCTCGTGCTAATTATTCTTAGGCACCATCAGAAGGAACCGGATGCGAAAAATCAAGCTATGGCGAATACATCAGTGCACAAGATGCCGATAGGCTCATCAAGAAATACCAGTCCGACTCCTCATTCGGAGGTGTAATGCTGTGGGAGGCAACTGTCGCTTTGAACAACGAGTGCAACTGTAAACCATATTATTCGGTGATCAAGGATTCATTGAAAGGCACCTCACCTCCACCGGCTTTGTCGGCTTGCCCGGTAACATCGACTACAATTTCTGCCACTTCATCAACTGCGTCATCTTCTCTACTTTCGTTAAGCACATCGTCAAGTGTTCCAATTACTAGCACTATTCTAAGCTCTTCGAGTTCAATCGAGATTCCAACCTCATTAAGTACAAGCGCCTCATCAACGAGCAGCTCCGCAATCTTCACATCTTCTGCGAGTTCTAGCGAGATTGCCACCCCGTCAATCACAACCGTGTCATCAGCCAGCAGCACCTCGCTTACTTTGACCCCAACTCTAAGCCAAACCAGCAGCTCAGTTTCAACATTACCAAGTTTGTCAGCCTCTGGAAATTTAACCTTGAGTTATTCAAGTGCAACGGTAACCTCAAATCTTCAAACTTCGAAATCATCGGGTGTATCAAGCTTTGCTACGCCAAGTCTATCTACAACATCTACAGGTAGTTCAGCCACGCCATCAAGCCTCTCAATTCTTAATTCTTGAAGCTCAAGGTCTTCTTCGAGTGCCACGAAATCGTCCAAATTCCCTACTTTTACTCCACCATACGGAAATGTAACTTGTAAGCCAACCTTCACTTCGTCACGGGCTTCAAATCCATCAACGGTCATTAGGGATGACTTTACACTAACCACTTCGTCGGGGGCTTCACATCCAACAACGGTCATTATTGATGAATTTCCACTAACCACTTCGACCGTGTATACCACAAAAACTGGAACGGTCACTAAACGCCCGGCTACTGTAACAAACTGTCCTCTGGGTTCCGTCACCACCGAGACCATGTATGTATTCTTCCTTTTTGTTTGTATTTCTGAGCTCTCACTCCAGTGGCTCAGAATATCCTCTTTCCCATTATCTGGAAGTTCTAATCCAACAAGAAACTTCATGTTAATTCTTTTTAGTGCCTTGTATACTACGATCTGTCCTGTGTCCCAGGCAAACAACGGCGGCGTGCCGACCTCTATTCCGGCTATCTCAGCCCAATCAGAGAACCAAGCCGGGTGCACAACTTCAACTGTTTATACTAGCAAGATCTACACCATCACCGCATGTGCTCCTGGTGTAAATTGCGCAGGAACACCTGGGTCGGTCGTCACCGAGGTGATCCCATTATACACTACCGTTTGCCCGATTACCCAAGATAGCAATGGTGGAATTCCAACATCAGTTCCCGGTCTACCTTCATCCCCATCATCCCCATCATCCCCCGGTGTTCCAGCTGAGTATACAACATCCACCATTTACACAACGAAGTTCTCCACAGTCACGGCTTGCGCTCCAGGGGTTTTATGTCAACAGACTCCAGGATCCGTGCTAACAGAGGTGATCCCACTCTCAACAACCGTTATTCCATTGCCACAAAGCTCCTTCACAACATATGTGACCATCCAAGTCGCCTCCGCTGTTTTCACTCCAATCGACACCCCGCTTGCACCATACCCAACTCCTTCAAAGGGTCAAAACAAGAGCCCTTACGGATCCGGCACGGGAACAGCATACTCGTACCCTCTCAAACCTACAGGGACTTCAGTTCCAAGTATCCAAGTCGTGGAGATCAATTCTGTTGCCCCAAGTTTCAGCAAGACTGGTGGTGGCATTAAGGCAGTTGCACCGACTGGTACACCGATTTCTCCAAGTGACACGCCTAGTTTGATATCGTCAAATTCTGCGAGTGGGTTTGGGTCTTCGCTTGTGCTGGTTATGGTTTCTGCTGTTCTTGTGAGTGCTTTAATGATGTAAAGACGATTATGTTCTGGTTATTTTATGTTTGTTCCTAGGTAGGGAGGCTGATGGTGGATGGACATGAATAAATATGGAAAGATTTAAATGGATATAGGTGGATGTGATGTAAAAACACTCCTACATATAGAAATCTGAAAAATGTACTTATATAAAATCCGATCCTCGATGGCTTTGCTTCGCACAATGAATACGCCTTGCTATAACACTTTTCTTACTAGGTACTACCGAAATGTAATTTACTTGTCGTCGAGGGAAAAACGCAGCAAGATTTGATATAGATACTGCTTGCCAATAGCGCCCAAAAGGAGAGCTTGGCTAAAAAGGCTAGTAATTTGTAGGTAACATGCAAGTAAGCTATTTTCGCCGCTTTCCTACCTCCAGCAGCGCTCGGCAAATGGAACCCATTCGATGGAATTCTAGGTAGAATAGAATGGAATATTCCTTCTAGAGCACCTTTAAAATGGAATGGAATATTCTATTAAAAAGGCTCTAGAATTCCATAGAAAATGGAATTCCAGAGGTTATTATTTTAACCAATCAGAGAGTAGTATTTAAGAGGAGTAAATACTAATAGGCCCTGTTGTCACGAATCACGTGCTCACGTGATACTTGTCATAATAAAGAGGCGCAACCCTCGACAGGCACATCCAGGTTTCTTATAGCAAATAGGGATGCTTAGACTAGCTAAGCGATCCAGGGATTTCCTTCGTATCTTATCACGTGACTAGTTGGATCGACTGGACCGACGATCGGTCTGAACTTCTGGAACGACAGGACCGACCAGCGGTCCTGGCAAAGTACAGGAAAGTGAAGGGTCTATATAAGACTGGCACGTCTGCCATTAGATAGGAGCTTCGTGCTCAACTTAGTTATCAATCTTGTCATATTAGTTTGACATCTTTGATACAAGTAACGAGTTCACTTCCAAGTGAACAACCCGATAGTCTTCTTCTTATCATAGCATACCAACCAGCGAACACCCAGCCAAGTTTAGTTAGCCAGTTTGAGTATTCGTTACACCTGTTTACTTAGAATTTCAGAACTTTATACCTAGTCTAAGTAAAGGGTCTAGAGCCCCCCCTGTCACTTTCTAATATACCTCTAGTCTACCTTAATCGGACAATATAATTAGCTTAGCAAGTTATATTATAGAGTTACACCCTTCCTACAAGTAATAAGTCATATACAGGGGAGGGGGCAACGTAAGCTGTCTATTAGTAGACCGGCCTTATACGTACGGGTAGAATCTAGGCTTCTTATTAGTCAACGGAGCGGAAAGACTTTTATCCAGGTCATATGATTCGGTTCTATGGAATTCTAGTAGAATAGGGGGTATGGAATGGAATGGAATTCCAGTTGCCGAGCGCTGACCTCCAGGTAATTTTTCAATGCTAGTGTGTGTTCTATAACAAACCGTCACAGTAGAAATACCTGGAGTATGTAGTCACATGTGTGAACTACACGTAATTCCCTTATTTTGCTTGTACTCGTATTATCAGAGTTTTCACAAGCTCTTTAATGAGGTTTCACCTACTTTTTTGGCCTATTATTTTTAAAGGTATGGATTTGACGGCTTTTGCTAGTTACACGAGGACTAAGTCTCCTCTAGTACTTACTGAACATGTCTACAGCAAGTATACTATTTTACACCAGACACCTAATAACCGCTCAGGTAAAAAAAGGATTTGTACAAAATCTCATATTGTTCTTATCCAACGACACCTAGCATCCACCTTCTCACATCCATCCAAATCTGCATCATTGAACCCACTTCCTCGGCACTATTACCCTTGGATTTTAAGATAGGCAGACTTCTGATGGTTTCCACCTGCCGCTGACTTGAAATCTGTTCCTCCGAGAACCAACTTCCATGCAACCCATAAGGAACACGCTGAGGTAATTTGATCTTGCAAACAACATCTCTCATCTCCTTAGCTTCAATGATCCACAACTCACTCTTTGAATCCGCAGGCGCATCGCCGTTGGCATCCAACTGACTCTCATCGAAAATGTAACTCAGAATCCACCCATCATCTTCGGACTTGCCATTTTCCCGGGGCACGAAGCGGGATTCCTGTGCATAGATGCCTTCTGGGAGCTTGAAGATCTTGATTGGATCATTCGGATCTTGAGAAGCCAGGATTTCGGAAACTGCTCGCATATCCACACATCCGGTGATGGGCGTCGGTGGATTATCGTGAGCTCTAGCTATGAGCGCGGATGCATCAATTTTGACAAGAGAGTCAATCTTGACAGCCCTTCCTAGTGCTGCGCCGAAGCTACTATCCGAAACTGAACAACCATAGATATATCGTGCTTCGCTCATGGACACGTCGGCTCGAATGGACGGGAACTCGAATGGGATTGAAGATAGGGCGAGTTGGTGAGTGATTATGTTGGTTTCTGAAGACAGAGAAAATCGATAGTAGTAAAGTCGACACTGTTCCTCTTCTGGCGCATAAATCGGATCTGATGTGGGAAGAGGTACAGGGGCAGCAATATCTCCAGCACTGAACACAAGTGAAGCACTTGTTAAGCGACAAGCGAGCATATTGACTGCAGTGGTTTTGGATCCAAACTCCTCCTTTTCGTGTTCATCCCAAGTATTTGCCGTGTGAAAAATACAGCAAGGGTTCGTCTCAAACCACCGGATCTCCTCCGGAAGCCATCTGGGAAATACGCCAAATCGGGATACACCAGATGGGTCGTAGGCGACTACTGGTAAATTTCGTGCTAGATTTCTTGGATCGAGTGACAATGGTAAATCGAGGATTACAGTATGATGAAGTGAGACTCCGAAATCGTGCATCATTTTTGGGGACGCGATGCCTGGGACGGAAGCGTTGACTAATCGAGGTTGCGTCTGGGATGAATTTTGCGTGCTGGGTATAATTGAGTAATTCACAAATGGCGCGAAAAAGGTTGAGTGAAACAAAATCATTTCGTTAGTATACGGATCTACCCTGGGATCTGGTAGTAAGTTAGAGAGACGAGTTTACCAGAGTAAAGTTTGTGAAATAAGCACGAGTGGGAGTAAGTGACTGACGTGCGGTAGTCCATTCCTTCATAAAACTCATCACAGAACTCCCACCAAATACCTCTCCATGTATTACCTCCTCATCTGGTTCTCCTTCTGCTTTACATCCATCATACCATCCAACTGTCTCCAATCCTGGTAGGCTGATTCGCATAGGGGGCCCACTCTCGCAAGTCGCCAAAGCTCTTCCTGCGAAGGTCAGATATATATTCCCACAAGATAAGCGACTATCCACGAACCATCATGATACAGAATACCTGTATTTGCGACTGAAATCTTCTTGATTGTTTGCTGCGATCCGGGAAAATTGGAGAGAATAACGAGAAAAAGTGTTCTGAAAATTCTCAAAATTATTTTAAAAAGAGAAGATGCAGGATTGACCAAAGTTGCGATGCTCGGGAGCAACGGTGACCGCAGAGACTTAGTCGTTATTGTTGCATGAAAAATATCCGTCAGAATAAACTGATTAACAAACTCCGGTTGGATCTTCCCATCAATGTTTTTCTTTCTGAAAGCGACACCGCTTAACATCCCATCTCCATCAAACCAATGTGCATCGCGTCCCAAATCCTCGTTCGAAACTGGATTTCCCCCATTACGTAGATATTGGCCACCTGCCAATTCATTGGGGATTTCTCCATCATAATCGCATGGCGTCAGTGGTTGTACAGAGTAGATTGGAGCAAAATTGCCATGAAGGTACGGATGTGGCATGCTCCTTCGCTGAATATCTCATGGTACAAGAAAGAGTGATACACAAAAAGTGATACAAAAAGTTGTCGAGATATTCAAGTGACTGGATTCACCATCATGGTGCGATTCTAGTTGAGCTATGCTGTAATGAATTAGCATTTCCGGAGTTACCAATCAGAAAGGACAAAACGCTGACCCAACGTTTCTTCGTCGGGAAACACGGAGGCAATAGCTTGGTGGAACGCGGGGTCTGATTTGTTATTGGAGCCCTGATCTTGTGATACGAAAGACTTAAGTAATGACGGCATGAAAAAGGAGGCCAGAGCTAAGCGAAGTAGATCGTCCCCACTTTATGAACCTTGTACATTTCCAAGCTCCGAATGTCCCTCCTCAGACAATCATGCTGCTTTTACTTTTACCTTTGTTCCCAAAACGCTAGAATGATTAGACGGGATTCTAGGCACTACCTTGAAGTAAGCCCCAACTAAATCAGGACCTCCTCCGCAAAAATGCAAATAAGAATAAACTGCAAGGATTGTGTTAACAACTGGAATACCACTATTCAGGGGGACTTGCCCCTGGGCTTGTTGGGCATGATGAGCAAAGTGTGGGGTAAAAAGTGTGGTGCCGGAGCTAGAGCAAGCTGTAACTACCCCTTGAAGCTAGTCTAGATTCATTGCTCATTGATTCCTTGCTCTACACCTCATCTGCCCAACCTAATGTCTCACATACACTCGTTTGAAAAAAGAAACTTGAGCTTCCACGATGCTTGAACTTTGCTAGACACCTTGTCGACTTTCGATTTGCCTCGCAAGAATGGGGTTCGAGTATGCGTTCGTGTGAGTGAGATTTCCCATCAAGAGCGTCTCCTTCAAAACTGATATCGTCTAGTCATCTCGCATACACGATCCCACCAGCTGTGGTCTTGACGATTTTTCATCGGCCACTTTCAACCGCAATCGATATCTACAAAATTGCGTTTTTGATAGCTATTGCTGTCGTTTCAACCACTCCTTGGGACAGCTTTTTGATTTCGCGCAACATCTGGACTTACCCACCAAGCGTAATCATTGGCCCGCGTTTGTTTTTGATACCCATTGAAGAATTGTTTTTCTTCGGCATTCAGACTTATAACACATCATTGCTTTACTTCCTACTCAGCAAACCTGTTTTCCATCCGATCTACCTTCGTCATAAATCCGGAATTAATCAATACAAATTATCTGGCCAAATACTTCTGGTCTCAAGCATCATTTTGGGCGTGTTGATGGTCCGGGCTGGAAAAGAGGGAACGTACTTAGGATTGATACTAGTTTGGGCAGGGCCATTCGCGCTTCTTCTATTCTGTTTGTCCTCCCAATTTATCCTCACACTACCTTATACCAGTACGATCTTGCCAATTGCCATACCAACAATTTACTTATGGGTGGTTGATACTTTGGCATTGAAAAGGGGAACCTGGGCGATTCAGTCTGGTACAAAGCTTGGTATATATCTGTGGGATGGACTGGAGATCGAGGAAGCCATATTCTTTCTCGCCACTAATGTCCTAATTGTCTTTGGACAGATTGCATTTGATCATGCCCTAGCAATCTTGCAAACTTTTCCACTTATGTTTCCAGAGGTCTCGGAGCCACCCTCACCTCTGAAACTTGTTGAAGCTCTGTTGACGGATCGGAATTCGTATGATGAAGTGCGTTTGGAGGGCTTGCAGCAAGCGGTCGAAAGACTACGGAACAAGAGTCGGAGTTTTTATGTAGTAAGGAGCTCTTTTCTTTCTACCCCGCATCTCGTACCAAATGATGAGTAGTCTGAAACTTCGATACGTAGATGCTAATTTGTGTATAGGCTAGCTCGACTTTTTCTGGCCGTCTCAGAATAGATTTAATCTTGCTCTATTCATTTTGCAGAGTCGCTGATGACTTAGTCGACAACGCCAAAAGTTCGATTGAAGCTCGTCAATGGATACAGAAACTCACTCAGTATCTCGATATGGCCTACAAAGAAGGTTCAACCACGAAAAATAGACTGGGCATCGAGACTTACATCAACGATAACTTCCCGGCTGCTTCTAGATCTGCATTGTATCTGCTACCTACTTCTTCCCTGCCCGCCGGTCCCCTCTTCGGGTTGCTGGAAGGATTTGTTACCGACCTCGAATTTGATCACAACTTTCCCATTGGGACGCCACAAGATCTGAGAAATTACGCATCTCACGTTGCTGGAACGGTGGCCGAGCTTGTGTTGAACCTGGCGTTTTTCCATAGCCATGCAGCCGGTGACGAGGCTCAACGAAAGGAGATTATGAATGCCGGACATCAAATGGGTATCGCTCTTCAGTATGTCAATATTACTCGCGATATTGCCACGGATGCAGCAATTGGAAGAGTTTACTTGCCCACGGCTTGGTTGGAGGGCGAAGGGTTGACGCATCAAGATGTATTGAAAGACCCACGCCACCCAAGCATCGAAATTATACGTACCAAGCTTCTCAATGAAGCATTTGGAATATATGAAAAGTCCCGAGGCCCGATGGAACTGCTGCCCGAAAACCTCAGGGCACCCATAAGGGTATGTGTGGAAAGTTACATGGAGATTGGAAGGGTTTTGCGGGAGGATGGATATGTAGTGAAAGAAGGAAAGGCTACCGTTCCTAAATTTAGGAGGCTGAAAGTTGCGTGGAAAGCCCTGACACATTAATGGAGTTCTTTTTAATGATTATGTAACCATAATACGAACCTGAATAATCTTGCTCGGATGTTCTGCTCTTCGTTCTTTATCTACCATTACTTTGGTGTGAGAAATATATATACGTGAAATTCCCGTTGCGCTAAAATCGAGGTTCTTGTGACGAATTACTTCCGAAGAACTAAATATAATCACCTAATGATGCTCGTCAACAGGAGCGAACTCGCTTGGGGCCTCGTTGACGTCATGAAGTCCGCAAGTGCCGTTACCTCTGCTCCGTAACGTGAAGCTAACTACAAGCACCAATGCACCGTTATTTGTTGGGAATCCAAGATTTTTCGGTGCAGGAGATTGTCACCACAACTCAATCCCAAAATGGCATCGAACGAAAGCGGACAGAAGACAGCTCTTGTGGTTGGTGCGTGAAATCCCGACGTCCCGCCTCTTGCCCTGTCTTTATAACTAGAAAACTTGCAATGAAACGCAGCTGATATCCCGATAGGAGCCGGAGTGGGCGGTATTGCAATTGCTGCGCGTCTCTCCAAAGCTGGATTCCGGGTCACAGTGCTGGAAAAGAACAATTTCACCGGAGGTCGGTGTTCACTCATCCACCATGAGGGGCACCGATTTGATCAAGGGCCATCTCTACTCCTCCTCCCGAAGCTTTTCGAAGAAACCTTCTACGATCTCGGTACCTCTTTGTCTGCCGAGGGGGTTCAGCTGTTGAAATGCGAGCCCAATTACAATGTTTGGTTCGCAGACGGAGAACGGATTCAATTGAGCAGTGATACTGCCGTCATGAAAAGGGAGATTGAGAAGGTTGAGGATAAAGATGGATTTGAGAGATACTTGAGTTGGCTAGCAGAAGCACATCGTCATTACGAAATCAGCGTGCGAGAGGTCCTCCATAAAAACTTCCCGTCTATATTCAATCTCTTACGTCCATCATTTTTGATGAATGTGTTCCAGTTGCACCCGTTCGAAAGTATCTATTCACGGGCTTCCAAATATTTCTTTACAGATAGACTCAGGAGGGTAAGCTCAAGAAACAGTGGATTTTTCAATGCCATTTTCCTTTTAAATCCCAAAGGCATTTGACTAACCATCATTTCCATAGTTGTTCTCCTTCAGTACTATGTACATGGGAATGTCGCCTTTCGATGCACCGGGAACATACTCACTCTTACAATATACCGAGCTTGCAGAGGGAATTTGGTATCCCATCGGCGGCTTTCATGCTATCATAGCTGCTCTCGAGAAAGTCTGTCAACGCTATAATGTTCAATTACGCTTATCAACACCAGTATCTTCTCTCATTACTTCACCTGATGGCAAAACCGTAGAGGGAGTAGTTACAAGTTCTGGAGAGAAGCTGACCGCTGACATAACTATAATCAACGCGGACCTAGTATGGTCTTATAACAATCTTTTCCCAGCCAAAACCACACTCGCAGCCACGCAATCAAAAGCTTCCTCACTCACAAAAAGAGCTGGGTCATGCAGCTCCATTTCTTTTTACTGGTCATTATCACAGAAGATACCCGAATTACAAACGCACAATATATTCCTCGCCGACGAGTATCGAGAATCATTCGATGCAATCTTTGACCGGCAAAACATTCCTGACGAGCCAAGCTTTTATGTCAACGTACCATCTCGTATTGACCCGACTGCTGCACCAGAAGGAAAAGACTCCATTGTGGTTCTGGTTCCTGTTGGCCACTTACTCAACTCAAGTTCGAGATACACAAATGGGAACGGACTTCCTGAAGAACTTGACTGGGCATCTCTTGTTGAACAGGTGCGTGCTTCAGTGATTAAGACTATTGAAGCGCGTACATCATGTGACTCACTCACACCTCTGATCACCAACGAGATTGTAAATTCGCCGCTGAATTGGGAGAGCAAATTCAACCTTGATAAGGGCTCAATTCTAGGTCTTTCACATTCTTTTTTCAATGTCTTAGCATTTCGTCCAAAAACCAAGGCAAAGGAGAGGAATCTCTACTTCGTGGGCGCAAGCACACATCCAGGCACAGGCATGTAATTCTACATCAGGCTACAGATACGAATGCTAACATATCGAAGGGGTACCGATCGTACTTGCCGGGGCCAAGATAACTTCAGAGCAAATACTGAACGATCTAGGACTGAGCATACCCTGGGCCAGGGGAAATGGCGTGATAAATCAGAAGAATGAGAAGAAGGCTCTTGATATGGTTCAAACCGATTACACTTTGTTGAGTGACTTGGCTATTTGGGCCCTCGCTTTCATCGTTCTGGCTATCACTGTCACCTATGTCAACACGGGGCTAATTGTGCGATGGAACTGGGACGAGAAAACAGGCTGGAGGGTTGGAAAGTTCGAATAGGATAACTTGTCTTGGTAAGACGATCTAATATCTAATTTCCAGATAATCTCAGACCCTCTAGAAAGATTGACTTAAGGACGAAAAAAGGTTGAGAACATTGATGTTGATTAGCGTAGGAAGAGGGAAACTCGGAGTTAGTGAGTAGCATCGGCTTTGCACCTTGAGGAAGGGAAATGATTGAACTGGTAAAGCAGCAAGTGATCGTGATCAGGTATTCAGCCTAGGCCTAAACTCCAATAAACTTTTAGTCAAAGTTGAAACCCAAACGTCCTCATCTCATGACCTAGCTGAAAACATGAGCTACGTTTTAGCGTCTGTGCATCCTAAGCCATACGCTTCAACACATGAAAAGAACAACATGTCCCAACATCAGGTTCAGTGTTCCAGGTCCTGATCGCTAGGGCCTCAATTCTAAACTCCCCCTGCCAAGGAAGTAGATCTATTTCGCTTAGGCACAAAAGGGGAAACCCGAAGCGCAAGGCTGCTGACCGATACATGCATTCCAAGTGTTTATTTTGAAGTTATGTTCGTCCTTTTATCACGTTCAGTACAGCCAGTCTTGATGCCCAACATCCACATGTCAACCAGAATCAATTTCATCATCATAGGCGGGGTAGTACCCACCCAATCCCTCGGATTCTAGTCAGGCATAGGAAGATCTTCATGTATTCTAATGTCTTCTGCCGTCCCTCGAAACCTCTTCAAGTAATCTAATTCGGTCGTGCGGTAAACGTCGGAACCACGAGCACTTTCTAGTCTCGACGATTCCGCAAAGGCACTAAACGCAAGGACTCCCTCTTTCTCCTGTTTCTACGAGTGGTCTAAAGCTCTCACCGCACAAGCACCCCTCGAAGCTGGTGAGCTTGGATACTTCGGCTGAAGTGTTTAGCTTCGGGGATTCTCGTAGCTCTTATACTCGTGCTCGCCCTCCTCACCTATGTCCAATCTTTACACCTCTTTCTTTTGCATTTTGAACATCCTCCAGATTTATCGTTAGAGATACCCTTGCCTTGACGTTTTCTAGCCAACCACCATGGCGAACAATCTGATCCTCGAAAAGCGTAAAAATGGCGCTTTGCGCGCAAATCCAAATGTTTTCTCCTATCCGAGATCATCGGACGTCAACATCACAACGTGAGTGGAAGAAACCTATGTATGATTTTCCACCTTCTGAACGTGAATAGAGCCGGTTCAGATGTATACTGGGCAATCACAGCGTTGATGGGTAAGTCCTCCCTTTCCGATATACGTCTCCCGCCTATTAAGCGATTTTCAGGATTCGTCACTCTCATCTTCCTCGCATGGAGCTTCACTGTCCCAAGAAGAAACAGAATTTTCCACTATATCACTCTCTGCATCACTCTAGTCGCTTGTATCGCGTACTTCACGATGGTAAGAATACGTCAACCCCTCAATGAGAGGTTTCAACTGATTTCCTTAGGCTTCCAATCTTGGCTATGCCGCTATCGAAGTCGAATTCAAGCGCGCCCGCCCCAATGTCGCAGGTCTCTATCGAGAAGTTTTCTACGTTAGATACATCGACTGGTTTGTCACCACACCAGTAAGTGATCTTCCTTCCCCAGTTCATATCTAATTTTAACCCTCATCTAGCTCCTTCTATTGGATCTACTCCTCACAGCCGGCCTCCCATGGCCTATGATCTGCTATACGATTCTCCTCGACGAGATCATGATTATCACAGGTCTCGTCGGCGCCCTGGTAATGTCAAGTTACAAGTGGGGTTACTTCGTCTTCGCCATGGTGGCCTTATTCCTCGTTGCCTGGAATGTCATGTGGGTTGGAAGAAAACACGCTCGTGCCTTGGGCGGCCCAATCTACAAGACATATAACACTTGTGGATGCTGGACCATGATTCTATGGTTTTTGTACCCCATCGCTTGGGGATGTTCAGAAGGTAAATATTTTCCGGGATATTTTCCACAACACCAATTCGGGAAAGATACAAGCTAATGATCTTTTCAGGTGGTAACTTTATCACCCCTGACTCCGAAGCTACCTTCTACGCAGTTCTAGATGTCTTGTCAAAGGTCGTCTTTGGGTAAGTCGCTGCGTAAGTCCCCTTCCTGCGATCAAGTCCTAACTTCTGCACATAGATTCATGCTTCTCAATGGTCACAGAAACATTGATCCAGCCACTATAGGAATTCGTAAGTATCTGCTTATTGAGAAGGGATTTCGTGATCAGAACTAACGAAGATCAGATATCCGAGATTATGATGACGATATGCCAGTCCGAGAGAAGAACGGGCTCGCCAGTGCAGCTATCGCACAAAATACAACACCAGCTATTGGTACTACCACAGGGGCTACCACTACCGGGGTTCATACCGGTGGGGTTCACCCTACTGCTGCAGCTGCTCCAACAACGACTACCACGACAACTGGCACTTCGGCCGTCTAGGGCCACCATTCGAAATTCCCTCTTGAGCCGTTCAAGTGTAATTTCATGTTTCGATGGTTGTTAAAAATACTTTTGCGACGGGATGTTCTAAAGGAATGAGGAAAGCTACAAATCACATAAATAATTTTCAGAATGAACTTTTGTTTTATTTTTGCTATCTGCTTAAAGTTCCATTGACGAACCCCTTATGGATTGAGTAAAGCACCATCAAATGTATGTTTGATGAAATCTAAGCTTTGAGTTACTGCATTTGAAGGCACGTAACATAGCGCTATCTATGTCAAGATCTGTTGCTAGCCATGTTTCCCCATGACCCGAGAGAAAAAGACGAGAAATCTGCACAAAGGTGAAAAGGATTTACCAAGAGGATCCACCAGCGTCTCCGCCAGTATTAGCCGAGTTGTCGGCACCCCAGCCACCAGCATCTCCACCAGCGTTTGCACCATCTTCGCCTCCCCATCCACCGCCAGTGGCGCCAGCATTCTCTCCCTTCTCTTCCTCGTGCTCAACCTCAAACTTGAGTTTGGTTACATCGCCATCATAGCCTTCAGGAATGTGCTCTTCCAAGAAATCAGGAACAATTTGTCGTGTTTCGAGAAGCGTCTTCACAAGTACTTCTGCAATATCCGCGTCTCGCTCGTTATAGAAAGATGTCGCCATACCAGGGTTTCCAATACGACCAGTACGACCTATACCGGACTTTAGTAATTGCTCGATACGACGAATCAACCCACTTTCCATAGCAAGGTTCGATTACCCCGCAGAAGCTAAATAATGAGGGCAAAGTATAGGGGGTGCACTAACCAATTCGATGTGTGTATTCCTCAATACCTCCGAACTGCATCGATGGCATATCCAAGTTGATGACATGGGAGACGAGAGGGATATCCAAGCCTCGGGCTGAGACACCTGTGGCGACCAAAATAGGACACTTTCCTGTACGGAAAGCACGAATACTGTCCTCACGCTCACGTTGAGTGCGATCTGAATGCATGCTGGTAGCTGGTAGACCTCGGTTGAAGAGGAAGTCACTATATCATATTAGTACTGCACCTACATCAACGACTGGTGGCTTACTCGATCTCCTCGCAAGTACGCTTGCTGTTGACGAAGATGATAGTTCTGCATGGTGGGATAGACATCAAGAGGTCAAATAATGCCTGCTTCTTTTTAGGCGCATCAACCCAAACGACATTCTGTTCAATGTTCACCAGAGTACTGCCAGCACGGCCGACACGAATGATACAGTGATCTGTTGAGAGATGCTCTTCAGCCAGCTTCAACACCTGCTTTGGGAAAGTGGCAGAAAACAAGAGGTACTTGATATTGCCAGTCTCCTGATCTGTGTGCATGTCAGCGTTGTTTCCAGCGTCGTTGTATTGATGAGTGAAACAAGGATTTCAGCTGATCTGAAGGTGAGTGGAAAAGGGATGCTACTTACTACCGCCAGTCATGATCTTTTGCATTTCTGTCTCCCAGTCATTGTGCAACATCTCATCAGCCTCATCAATGACCATGTATCGCAAACGATGCAGGGTCAGAATGTGCGGACGATCGATAAAGTCGCAAAGTCGACCAGGGGTAGCAATAAGAACATCACAGCCCTTGGATAATTGATTCACTTGCTCGGCAATCGGTCCACCTCCGTAAATGACACATGGGCGAAGCATGGTACGATAACAGAAGCGACGAGCTTCATCAAAGATTTGGGTCGCCAATTCACGGCTTGGAGCAACGATGAGAACCAGAGGCTCAGCTCTAACAGGGTTGGAAACACCAGCCACAAGCGTCGTCGGGTTTGGTCGAGGAGCTGCTAACTTCTTGGCCTTACCCATCAATTTGGACAAGATGGGGACCAGGAAAGCAGCAGTCTTGCCAGAACCTTAAAGAAGTAGACGTTAATTAAACAACCATCGAGGTATAATGAAGTAGAGAACATACCAGTTTGAGCACATGCGACAAGGTCATATCCCTTGAAGACAGCTGGGAAGGTGTATGCTTGGACGGGGGTTGGAACCACATATCCAGCCAACTTGACGTTTTCGAGCATAACAGGATGCAAGCCGGCATCCTCAAAAGAACGGATTGGTTCAATGTGAATGACGGATTCTTGAACAACATTGATCTCAGTGATCCTATGAAGTCATCAGCCAACGAAGAAGACGGGCTGCGAAAATAAATTTACTTCTGGAATTCGATGCCGGATCTAACGTGATGCTCAGAACCAAACAACATACGCTCAAGCTCTTCATATCGAGGGCCAACATCTCCGTACTCCTCGGGATTCCACTCGTAAACGGCAGCATTTCCAGCCCAGTCTGGACGGCCACCGTCTTCATCATAGCCTTGTTCAGGAGTAGTTTCTTCGCCGTTTTCAGCCTCTGTCTTGCCTTCGGCAATCTGCTTGTTAGTCATAGTGTACCGGGCATAGTCATAGGCTTGTTTCTTAACCCAACCGTGCTCCTGGGGAGTCTTGGTTGGTTGGGCAGACTCGTCATGTTGAGAGCCTGTCTCAGTGGCGTCGGGGAGGGCTTGAGCCAGGTCTCCGGTCTCCCAGGCAGCTGACATGATGATATTGGTATGGGAATGAAAGCTGATTGAAGATGATAGTTAGTAAAACTTTGCCAGATTGAAGGCGATGATTGGGAGTGAAGACTGATTGCCAAGGTTGAAAGTGAAGATAGAGCAGGCATAGATTGGTTGAGTCGAGATCGAAGGTGGCAGAGGGAGTAGGCCGTGGAAGGTCCTCGATGATAGAAAGATATAGGATCGGGATGGGTGGACGGAGAACTTACTTTCAAAGAATTGGTGTTGCTGAAGACTGAGGTCAACGCCGCGAAGGTGATATCGCACGATGGGGCAAGGAAGGACTCGATGGCGAGCTAAGAAGACGCACATTAGCAGATGACACCGATGAACTAAATGGGGACCATGAATTGAGGATGGGATGATGGTGGATGAAGTCTTGTGGATGGATTCGTGAAGCGTCGCGCGAGTTCGCGAGGCCTTCAAGCAACCGTGGCGATGTGGGTGACGCGAGCGACAACGAGGCGTCGAGCAGGAGGGAAGACTTACATCAAGAAGATACCTGATGATATCCTAAGGGTATGGAGAGGTCGGATGAGGAGTTGTACCTAAGCCTGAGGGTGCCTAAGCATAGAAGGGAGGAATTGGGTTGATCAGGGTTGATCTTGAAGAGGTTGTGTTGTGGAAGAAAATTCAAAGGAGTGCCAGAGCCCTCGACTGCTTCTGGTGGTGGCCAGGCAACAAGGCACCTGAACCTCGCCAACGGTCGCTCCTGCCGAATCGCGTTCAAGCCAGGAGGTAGACAAGAAAAGGCGTTCAAGCGGCAAGCCTTCAGAAAAAGGCAACCTTCTGCGAAATGTGCTTTCCCAACCTGATCGTGCCGCTTTTGAGGCCAAATTGCTCCTGAAGTTGAGTTTCACAACACCATATAGAGAGAGGTCATGGGCAGTGTTTAACCTAGCCTTTTCCAGAGCCGGGACTTCACCTTCAACGTGATAGACTGGCTTGAAGCATGGCTTCCAAGTTGGATCACGAAGCTGAAGCAAGAATCAAGAAAGTTGGTAGGCATTGCGATTCTGCCTCCTTGGGTCTGAGAGCACACACTGATAAGTCATTGAGATCAGATTGAATTACCAGAGCTACCTCTCCAACACCAGGTGGCCTCGTTCTGTCGGTAGTTCTTGGACGTGCTATGCTCATGCCACTCTTGTACCAAGAAGCTGGCACACGCCTCTGTACGCAGGCTTCCTATAAATTCTAATTGGTAGTAGGACTTTTGATAAGCGCATGCAAACTTCTCAGAAGATGAACCTTCAGACAGCCATTGACTCTGCAAATCCAGACGTGCCTTTAGGTGCGGCCGGCTGAAAACACGACCCATAAGCTCCCGTTCGTGGACCCGTCGTTGGACGGATAACAGTTTTAGCAAAACGGAAAATTTGGGATGCAAAACTTTCCCAAGAAGGAGCATCCAGTTGAAGGCTCGAAGGAAATTTGGCTACAGATCAAGAAACAAGGAGAGAAGTAAGGTCTTCTGTCAAGACATGATTATTGGGTGTAGCTGATAGACATATCTAGGTCAGCAACTACCGTTCAAATCTCCAAGGAAACGAAGCACGATTGTTCTACCTCGTCATGCGAGACAACAAGACAGAACACAAGGCTACAGATGCCTTCGCCTACACAAGCTTGAAAGCAGAGAACTTCATAATCCTGCGACGAAAACCTTAAAAACATATGGAGCGATCGAATCAACAACTCAATGTGGTCCCCTATTTGACACCCGGTACATTTACTTCTTGCTAGGCCCTGTTGCTAGGTGGTTTGGTCTAGAAGGATTCAGAGACTATATGCGACAGAAATTTGCCTATAGCACAAATTGTACCTCGTGGAACCGAGTATTGCGGATATCCCTGGGTAGCATCAGCACCCCATCAAACAGCAGCAATGGTAGGCCCAACGAGAAAGCTCGTACTTGGTACCAAATGTGAATACTGTTCACATTTGGAAGAAAATACAAGGCTATCAGTCATACCGGACAAGCATATACCTTTGCTTCTCTGTTCAGGATAAGATATGGGGTACGGTTGTCCCCAGATCATATCAAACTAAGGATGTAGAGGTAAACGGTTTGGCAATCTCCCCTGACTTATTCTTCTCCTCGCCAACATATCAGACTCTAACATCGCAGCGAGAGCTTCATGATTTACACAAAGTGTAAACAGAAGAGAAAAGATTTCGCTCTTGCTCCCTTCTCCAACAACTTCCACGATCTCGCACGCATGCCTACCGCGACGGGGATAATACGGGCTCGATGCTCGACTCACATCTCTCCTTCGAAGTTGGAGCAAGAAAAGTGGGAATCGTAGGATACTTCCATTGTCTCTGCAGTTCTGAGATACTTGGGGGATTAAGGTTGCTTGTTGAAGTCCTTGTTTCTGTATTAGGAGAGGATGAAGTGTCGTTGAGTTCTATGTACGTTCCCGCACGGAGGTGTTTTGAGTTTATCCGATTGGTTTAGTTAACGCCGATTATATCTGAAAGTACCCTTACGCAAGCACATCAATGTTAATAGAATTTCTTTCTAACTAAATAAATCTATATGTAGAGCTTATGCCTACCTAGATACTATCTATATATTAAGCTCACTAGTTTATTATAACTCTTACTTAATAAAAGACCAAAGTATAAAAACTATCCTATTAAGTATTATATTTCATATCTATATAAACTGATATAAACCCTCTTAGTGTCTCATTTGTATATACTACTACGTTATTTCAAAACAGCGAATTTAAAATCCTCGTAAACATCTACATATAAAAATGACGAGTTTAAATCAGGGGCTTACTAAACACGAAAATACATCTTAGCGGGATGAGGACTACGGGGAGATCTTCGCGTATACTTAAGGAATAGATTATATTAATCTAGAGAATCGATATAGATGGTTTGATGGGGTTTCTATTACTAGAAAATTGCTGAGATTCTTCTCAGAAGTAGAATACCCAGGTGATCGATACCAAAAACGACAGCGACTATATTACCAACCTTTTAGAGTATACCAACGACTCCCTACCCTTGACACCCAAATCATAACTAGTCAAAAAACATCCAGTCAATCAGCCGTTCTCTATAATCCACAGAAGTCAAAATATCAGATCTTGGTATCGGTAGTGATACCTTCCGCATCAAGAAAGCAATCCAAACAAAGAAACCTACAACACCATATCCTACCCATCAAAAACCCTTACACCCCCCAAAAGCAAAGCCAAAGATAAACCCGACGGCATCTATACCCATCAAACCCCTATGTCCAAAACAGCCTACTCAACCCGGCAACCCTGCCAAAACAGCCTACTCAACCCGGCACTCCTGCGGCCACTACGGAGTCGCCTACCTCTCCCCAACATCTCCAACCCCAACCCCAAATCCAACCACAAACCCTCAGCTCCCGATCCAAAATCTCAAAGACCCCTCTCCATCCTCAAATCCTAATACCGAAATCCAATGGCGGGAACGCGTCAGCGAAGAGCCTTGTACGAAGTGTAAAATAGTGTTAAGTGCGGATAGGAGAGTGCCTAGTGTGTGGGAGGTGGTTTTGACTTGGATTGGGTGACGTGGGGGAATGTGGTGGTTGTGGGGTTTGTTTGGTGGGTGTTGAGGAGGTGAGTTGGGAGTGATCGGGGGGATTGGGAGGATGGGTTGGAGGTTGTTGGGGAGTAGTTGTGGGAGGGGAGGATGGTTGTGTGTTTTGGTGTGGAGGGGTTGTGGAGGGGTTGTGGAGGGATTGTGGAGAGAGTAGTTATTGTGTGTGAGGAATGAGCAGGAGAGTTTTGTTGGATTATATCGGCGGTTTATATCTAAGGATTGTGGCCTCTGCTATGTGTATTGCAAACAAATCATATTTCGAGGTATGGCATTGCTCAGATAAGATTATTCGAGAATCTAGAACTACTGTGTAAGAATCAAAATTAACATGCGTCATCACTACAAGCAATTATGCTTGATACCAACGACTGATTACGATCACGAAATTGTTATTTCCTTAACATTTATCCTAGAAGTATTACAGTAAGAACGATTGAGGTCCTCATACAAAACCCCACAAGACCGATATGCTAATATAATAAGAATGATATGACCCTTGAGAAGTATACACGAACTCGTAGTGACAAGGAAAGCAGCAAAACACAACTATATATCAGCATCACTCAACCTCAAGCATCTTCTGGCAGTCTGATCTTCTGGAATAGCATATTTATTGGTTTACAAGATAACATATTACATATAAAAAGTCTGTCCAGGGACCAATATGAACCTTATACGCTAAAAAACGTAATATCTTAATTATTAATTTTGCCCCATTTTTTAGGGTTTATATTTCCCGCCACTCCCAGCCTTTATGTTTCACCTCCAACCTTATCTAATCTTTTAATTATTTAAGCCTATTCTATATTTATAATTTAGGTATATTCTTATAAGAAGAATAAGACAAGGAATAGGTCCTAAAATCGGTCTAAGAAGTAGCTATAGGGGGTTAGTTATAGATTAATTAAGCGAGTAATATGAGGGTAAATAGGAATAGTTTTAGAAGTATATCCCACTTTTTTATATACCGATTATTAAATATACTTTTACGAGTTTAGCTCTAAAATCCCGAGTCTTTTAGAGTATGTGGTAGTGCGTAGAAAGATTAATATAAAAGTGTCGATTTTAGATTCTAGCCCTCTAATTAGTTAGAATTATAAGATACTTATCCTACGAACTTTTAGAACCATATACAATATACGCATGCTATCTTAACAAGGAATGTTATTTTGTAATCCAATTAATACGGTAGTCAAATTAACAAGCCAAAGTTATTAAAAGACTTGAAGCAATTTGATATCTTGGCTAATCACTTCCAATTAATTAAGGAAAGAGGAGCAACAAGATAGTGGGTTGTCGATTGTGACAGATTAGAGCCAAAGTTCCCATACAGTAACAACCTAGAAAATCATCAACTTCACATACCGGGATCTGAGAGTTATGAATCTTTTGATTCTGAGCTAGTCACAAAGTGGCTCGCCTCGCCAAACAAAGAAAACGAATTTCAATCTTTTAAATTTATCGTAGCTCAAAATCCCCGAAAGAATGGATGAAAGCGGTAATATTCCAACAAAGACATTCAAGCTGCCACGTTCGAACTTTCGAATTCCCAACAGCTTCTCGACGTTAACGCCTCGAGTAGTTTCTCTCTACCCCACCATATTGAACACCTCAAGGTAAAACCACACGAGGTGTATGACAATTTTCTCCGGTATGCAAACCACCACCATCCACTTCTCCATAACAACAAGCACCGGCACCCCCCTCCCCGCCGTACCAATGCCCCCTCAACACACCTCAAAACCCTCACCAACATCCCCAAAATCCCCCAAACCCCCATCAAAAAGACCCCTCACAACCTCCTCTCCAAAAGGCCAACACACACCACNCAACACACCTCAAAACCCTCACCAACATCCCCAAAATCCCCCAAACCCCCATCAAAAAGACCCCTCACAACCTCCTCTCCAAAAGGCCAACACACACCACATCCCTCCCTCTCCTCCCCTCTAACCCCCTCTCACCAACCACACAATGGGAACTCCACAACGCACGGCGCCGCCGCTTCTCCCAACTCCCCGGAATCGAAGAGTATACCTCAGACCTATACACACGATCCGACACCATCAACAGGATCAAAGTGTACAAGAATCCGCAGCATAAACAGAAGGTGTACGAGCGGTTGCAAGCGTGGAAAGTGGCCGAGATCCGCCGACGGGAGTTTCCTTGGGTGAAGTGGGTGTGTTTTGCGATCGGGGTATATGTGTTGTCTTTTGGGAGCTTGGATTGTTATTATAGGGATATTGGGGAGAGCTTTGAGAGGGGGTTCGGGGGGGAGTAGGTCTTGAGGGTGATGAGTGGAAGTCTGGAAAAGGATTGGGATGTTTTTGTAAGAAACGAATGAAGTGGATTGTGATTCTTCGGTAATACCACCTGCGCCTATCTATCTAGATGCTGCCATCTGCCCAACTACCTGTACAACTCTAAGTCATATTAAAAGTACACTGTAATCATCCCATCTCATGATATCATCTAACCCTCAAAGACACTGTGCTGTAGCTCTACCCCAAACTGGTCCTTGGCAATAAACCTCATCTGCCTCTCCAAATCATCTTCCATCCCATGTCCAAGACCGAGTAACTGCCTAATCTTGCTCGTATAAAAAACGATATCACTCGTCAACAACACGATTCGGAAGATTAAATGCTTGAACCTATTGACGAACCGTTCGCTAAAGGAAAGATCCTTGCTTTCAACCAGACTCTTACTCGCCCAGTAACCAGTCATCTTGATTCGATTCACAGGCGAGCCCAGAAATTGATTGTTGCCTTGTACAATCCTCATATTCCGTCCGATGAACAATAACTCCCTGGGGAATTTCTCTTCTTCCGAAAGAACTTCTCGGATGCCCTGTCTCATGCGTTCTTGGACCTCAAAATGGCGTTCTGCGGCTGTTTTCCCTTTGAGCTCTCCCGTGATTCGGCTTTTAGTGCTACCATCACCTCCCTCGTAAGGACGCATCAGGGTAGCACTGGCGAAGAGATCTGGTGCTTTGATGCCCCAGGAGTTTGTTATTTCGGCCACAGTCTTATTGTCAAATGTCAAAAGAGATTTCCAAAGCAAAGAGTATTGATGCCGAAAGGAGGGCTGTAGTTCCACATATAAGCCGTGGTCAATTAATACCAGCTCCGGCTGTCCATTTGGCTTTCTTCGGATAAAGATATTCCCTGGATGTGGATCGCAATGAACGGTTCCCCAAAGGAACATTTGAGCTGAAAATAGATCCACCATGGTTTCCATGACCCTTTTGAGAGACAGTCCAAGACCTCCATTACCATTACGTCCCTTCCACTCATTGCGCTCTGGTTTGAGTCCGGTGTTACTATTGTGTGGGGCTTTTGGAGGGTGAAATGGAGTGTCGGTTCCAGGAGAACCCTTTCCGTAGCCTCCTCTCCATGGGCGTGTAATACCTTCTTTATCCCACAGACGAACTCCTTCAATCCATTCTGCTGTCATAATTCTTTTGGAGCTGAGCTCACGATAGACTTTTGGTATATACACTCTTCCACGTAATCGAGGTTCCTGCTCCACAAGTGCCCGCATTCTCTCAGAATTATTGGCTTCATTTACCTGTTTCTTGGGATTAGTTGCCGTTTTATTTTTGTTGACTGGAGATAGGATGTTTTGCTTACAAAATCTGTTTCCAACATCAACCTTTCACTTATATATGGGACGAGGTTATAAAGAGGAAGGTCAAACCAGTAAGTATATACTTTCATCACGACGCTAGGTGTGTCGTTAGCAGTACTCTTTTTTCATAAGATATCTTTTTACTTGCCGGAACGCCCACAGGTCCCAACCCACTTGTTGCTCAATTTCTCTCTTCTGGACTTTTATGGCAACCTCTCTACCACCCGCTAAACGGGCCCAATGTACTTGAGCAACAGACGCTGAAGCTCTCGCCTTTTTCTCCATTACCCCGTAACCGGGCACATTTGCAAAAGAAACTCCAAACACTTCCTCTGGACTCCTTCCAAATTCTTCCCTAATCACTTTCTCTACGTCTTTCCAGTCATTCTGTGGTGCATCATCGAACATTCTGGCGAACATCTTGGCGAATTCTTCGGGCAGGATGGCACTTTGCATTGCTTTAACAGAAGGTTAGTATGAGCTTTTGCAAATCGACAGAGAGTAAAACCAACCAATAGCTTGGCCGATTTTCAGATAGAGTCCGCCATTGGCATGCAATAAGTCGAACATTCGCTCGGCACTAACTTCAATCAGATTCAATAGTTATAAACTCTACAACACTTCTCAAGTAAGTACCTGCGGCGATGGAGATCTCCAATTGTGCCAATCCACGGATTGGGTCTGAAGTTCATCTTGTAATCCAAGGCAACCACAATACCTAGCCCAAATGTTCGCAGACTTCTACTGATTGAAGAGGCGTAGAATTGCCTATCGACTAGATACGAACCTCCCAATACACCCACTGTCCATAGCAACCGACGTCCCCATTTTATTGACCGACGGTATTGCTTTGGTGGAGCTGCTCTACCCAAAGATTCAGGGGAAGGAGGGGCGAAAGGGGAGAATTGTTGCGTCTGTATTGAACGGGCTGAAGGCGGTAGACGGATTGAGCTGGGATGGAAGCGATAGAGGGGTTGGGCATAGGATCTATGGACGAGGGTGAGAATGCTTCGAGATTTACTGAAGCATTGTCCTGCTACACGCAGTGACATGACTTCGTGGGACCTCAACTACCTACTCGTAGGCGCAAAACAATTGTTGTCGAGTGTCGTGGAGTATTGGTAAAACATTGATTGAATGGACGTGAAAAGTTCCTAGTCAGCGATGACGATAACGATTGTGAAAGCCGTTCCTCGGCTGGGGCCTTATCTCCGTAGCTAACAGCAAAGAACCAGGGGACTACAGCTTATACAACTAAACGTCTATATTAAGAATCGTAAGTGCGCTATTAATTTGGCACATGTTGTATGTCACCGTTATGGAAGATTCAATAATACTAGGTGGACTCTAGATCTGTTTCTCGGAAAGCTCCATCATGGTGGTTACGTCATCGCTACCGTGCACTATCACAGGTACAGGTGTGTTAATTGTTCAAGGGTTATTTAAAAAAGATAACCTTGAAACGACATAAGCGGTTCAATTTAATATATTAACACTCTGAAGATGCTTTCGTGGTATCTTGATCAAAATACCTGGCTCTTAGAATATCCTCAAGAAGTAGACCACAAATAGCTTTCTTGGTACAGTATCAAATGTTCCCACTTTCTTAGTGTTGAGTTAAGAAAAGACTTTTGGAATTTCAGCTAACTTTTCTGAATTTTCTTGAGCAACATACGAAGAGGCAGGTAGAAGAGAACTTGATGAACGCTTCTCACTATTAACCAGAGCCCTTGTTTTTAAGTATTGGGATTTTACTTTCAGTTACCCCAATGTGACAAGGGGTTTGGAGTGGATAGCACTAACGGTGGCTGAAATTGGCAGAACCGCTTTTTGGGCCACTTGGTACAACTTTATATGGGTCCCTGAACAGAAAAGTCCGACCAGAGAAACTACCGCTCCGCTCATCGCATATCATCTATGCATAAGAGGCATGAGTTCTGACGAGTAGGAGCCTCCAGTTCACAGTTACAAACTGTCCCGCGCTCCACCCAGAAACCCATGTCTCCTCCTAAGAATCGATTTACCATGATAGTGGATACGAGTCAATCGAGAGCCTTGTCGTATGTTTGGTGCAACTTCAAACTGGAAAGGCACTTGGCGATGGGCGTGTGGGAATTGGTGAGACATCACAGCAGGAACAGAAGTTTGCTGATATCTGGTACAGTACCGGTCTTGTGAAACGTCGCCAAAAATAGACAACACTAGGAAAACTGGGAATTTTTCAAAGGGAACGACAGCAATTAATCTCCAAAATCCCCGATTGGGAGTTTGTTAGTCAACAGTGTACTCGGTAGTCGTTTGCCAAAGCATTTGAAGAATTGTTTGTCAATAAATGCACGAGTTCCCAAACGAGATATCAGACACGATTCGTCAAGTCAAGGCTGCACATGCAAGGAAGCGATCGTGGGCGATGCCTATGATTGGACTTGTGTCAGCATATCCCTGATACCCTTATGTACTTCTACCTTTACCTGTGGGGTCCACAATTGCTTGCAGTGCTGCTACTATTTCGTACATAGATACTCTATGCTATGCGTTCCAAAGCGAGAGTAATCTTCTGTCCAAGGATTCTTGGACACAGCAACAACAGATAATCTCAGAAGTCTCTTTGGTCCTAATGTAGAAGTACAGAGTAAGGACCCAGAACTCACCCGTCTTTTGCCAAGAAGGTCTTGTGGTGGTGATGGAACACACGGTAGAGTAAGTCGGTGCTCAACAAGTAGGAATAGGCCCGTAGAGGCCAGGCCTAGCCCTGTGAATTACAATACTCCGTAGGCAAGGGATACAATGTACTTGTCCGATCACACCCTTATTCACTGTCTCTACCACTGAAAACCCAATACTCTATTTCATCTCTTCTTGTTTGCTTATTGGTGTCTCTTCTTGGAAGGGGAGAGCTTCGCTTGTTGCATCGCATCGCATCGCCTCGCCTCGCTTCGCATAATTTAGAGTGCAGCCCTGGAGATTACCTGGCCATACTAGCCCACCAAGCCTGCTGCCCGTGAGCCCCAATCTCGCCCAGCCGACTTGGGATTCACCTTTGCCTCAACACCAACAACACTGACTTCACGACTTCAAATCCGATCCTTCAATTCAACACCAATGCCACCAACGATATAGGATTCCAATGCCTCAAAGGAATTTGGCGCTGTGATTTCTTCCCCCCTTTGACGACTTCAATCTCTCCAGGTCCTGTCAAAGAGACAGAGACAAACTTCAAGATGCTTCGTCCAGCCACTCCTTTGACCATTCTTCTGCTCATCAGCTTCCTACTACTGCTGGTATCAGTTCTGTCCACGCCAATCATCAAACAAATATCGCTCGCATCATTTGAGGGTGTGGATTTTGGGGTCTTTGGTCTATGCAAGGGAACCGATTGTAGTCACATTGAGATCGGATACAGCACGGGTATGGAAAGAGGATGCCATCGCAACCGCGACCAGAACCAGGAAATCATGCTGACAATTCTGCAATAGATGGATTATTTACTGACTCCCAGACGGCGACCTTCGATCTACCGAGTAGCACGAGAACGACGTTATCGGCCATTCTAATTGTCCATCCCATTGCCGCTCTCTTTACCCTGGTGATGCTTGTTCTCGCCGGCTCCGCGCACTTCCACGCCCCATCGCACTCCCCTCGTTACCTTCTCGGTATTTTCATACTGAGCATTCTCACTTTGATTCTCGCCCTCCTCTCCTTCTTAATCGATGTACTACTCTTCGTGCCACATATGGCCTGGGGCTCGTATATCGTGCTGGCAGCAACGGTCCTCATTGCATGCAGTGGAATTGTCTCATGCGCCATGCGACGGACCTTGGTTAGTCGCAAAGCTCGAAAACGTCGTATTGCGGAGAATGCAGAGATGAATGGTGCCAACTTTTACAATCGCGAAGGACGACCGAATCCAGCATTCCCAGCGGCAACAGATGCATCCAAGGTGAGCGGAGCACCCGGAACCGATAAGCTTCCAGAATTTGCGACATTTGAAATGTCAAAACAGGATACCAATCGAACAAGTGACGAGCGAATACCACTAACTACAAAATCTCCAACCACCGGAACTTCGCCATCAAACTTACCGGGTACTGCATACCGAGGACCCCCCTCGCGAGGCAATGGAAGCCCCCCTAGACCACCAAGAGAGCTAGATCAATATGGAAATCCCCTGCCACTTATGCAACCGGGTGCCTTTGGAGCTTTTGGAGCGTCACCTAATCCTCCTCTTCAACATCAAGCCTCAGATCCATCTATGCGAGGAAGAGGGATGCCTCCAGGAGGGTTCAGAGGCCGAGGGGGATATCCACCAGGGAGAGGGGGGTATGGTCCTCCAAGAGGGGGTTATGGTGGTCCTCCAAGGGGAGGCTATATGGGCAACCAAGGATATGGGCAACCAAGGGGAGGAGGGTTTTCAGGCCCACCTAGAGGAAGAGGAGGCGGGCCTCCACCTGGTTATGGAGTTCCGCAGAATCGAGGCTATGACAACAGAGGACAATCTCCAGGAGGTTATCGAGGTCCATCTCCTGCTCTAACGCCTGGGTACAATCAAAACGCATACGCGGTACCACCGCTACCTTCAACTAGTACGTATGCAGCTTACAATCCAGACACAGACGACAGCCGATCTAGTCTTCCGCGTGCAGAATCACCCCCACCATTGCCAGGCTCCAGTGAAGGGCCAGTGGGACAAGCCATAGAAATGGATGCTACAACAGGCAGTCCTTCTCACCCCCCCAAAGGCCATGGCCAATTTCCGTTGAAGGATGATGATGGTGATGTTGCGGGCATGGTAGGACTTCAGCAACAGAAAATGCAGAGGGAGACGCTGCAAAGTGGGCCGAGTAGATACAGCACAGAAGAGTAAGCCACTAACAGAAATGACCTGTATGTACATGAGCTAACGTTCTTAGCTATGTTCCACCACGATCAGCATGGGGAGCAGGGCAAGTTGACGCTGGTAGATCGTCCCCAGCTTCGAGACCCGTTGAGCCAGCACGCCAAAATACACCACCTAGAAGACGAGAAAGTTCTGATAACTATTATGAAGATGTAGCCCCTCGGTTTGCGGAGCCACCAGTCCCATCTGGTCCAGGCATAGCACAAGATCATCCAAACAACAATCCAAGCGGTAACTTACGAGTGCAGCCTCCAGGGCTCGGTATGGATGGCAGTTATTCATATGAAGATGTAGCATCTGGTGCTCGAAGTCCAGCAGAGTCTGAACACTCAACATTCACCTCAATCTCCCAAAGAGGCATAAATCCCAGATGGAATCCTGGCCCCAGCTATGGAGGTCCAATGCCAAACAGAGGTCCACCGCCCCAGCAGCAAAGAGAGGATCTGCTCTTAAACTCAAACCCAGACTTCATGCTACCTGGCTCAAGAGGAGGGGGTGCGAGAGGTCGCGGTAGAGGTGGTAGGGGAGGGCAAGGGCGACCTCCTGGTCAAATCCCAGGAATGGTCCCCAAATCTGCCTATCCCGGCAATTAACATACCCTAGCCATACTGGAGAATTTCTCAACATTCAATCAGCAACTCCTTTCATGACACATACGCGATTTTGAAAAGTATCCGATTGTACATATGGAAGGAATCCGAACTTATTTTTCGCGGTGTCCATTTTTTTCCCTTTCTGTTGTCGATATAGACTTGCGGTGAATGGCAAGCTTTTCGCCAGGCGTTCTGCGGGTTACCTTCGACCGAATCCAGTGTTGGTCTTGACAGCCTCTGTATGATACATGCTTCAAATGTGGAAGCATGTTTGCGTTGTTTGACATGGCCATGATTTGTACATATTGTGGGGTGCCATGAACATATTCACCGGCGAGGTACAATTTTTTTCTTTTGCAGTCATGTTTTTTAAGTTTGCGCAGCGGGTCTTGCTTACTTTCCCAACGATTGGGAACCACCTTACAAAATATTAGGATGGAAGGGGAGGGAAAATTTGCTTTGAAATATGGGGGGAGAAATCAAATGGTATGGATGGGTGGTTTGTGGCGCGATGACGATCTGAAAGGGTGGGAGGGATCTATCCGGGATTGAGTCCTATGTTCTTTTCCATGGAAGGACATTTGTGACTGACTATGTTAGGGTGCTAGCTCTACTAAGGAATGAAAGTCGTATGCTGCACAAAATCTCTCGTAGCTAATTTAATTGGTTGATCTCTACTTCTTCTGACTAGATTTTCTCCCTTCTATCTTTGTTGGTAGGTAGGTTGATCGTTCACTTTTTTTTTGAATTCGTGAGGGGAGCGAGAGAAATGCATGCTGTCTTGTACCTCTGATGGATGCGTGGCCTTGGTTACATATATACGAATCCCTCGTTCTCGCAGTGTTGGAGCGAGAGCGGCTCATCATCTACCTGAGTAATTATTAATTTGTCTGCCTGAGATGGGAACGAGATTCGCGTTGAGGATCTGAAGGATGGGTTGGAGGATTTCCTAGGGGATGGTTAGGCAAAGGGGAGTGGGATTTTGTACCAAGGAAGTGGATTTTTTTTAGTAGTCTAATAGTTGTGGTATGGTGAGAATTATGGGGTTGTACTCGTGTGGAGTATGGAGTATGTAATAGTGTGATTTATTCTGTTGAATTTGGGAGGTACGTAAATTACTTCTATTTTATTCTGAGTCTCTGAGGTTGTTTGTTGGGTTTGGGTTTGGATTACTGGATTACTGGATTATGATTATTTGTTTGTTTTGAACTTTGGGATTGATGTGAGTGGTAGGTGGTAGTTGGTAGGATGGTAGGATGTGAAGAGATAGGCACTAAGGCTTTGGGTTCTATTGGTGGATTTGATCATAGCGGTACTATAATCACCAATTCACTTTTGGAGTTTGAGTTGGTGATTTTTTTTTTTTGCTGGATTATGGTAAGATGGTTTCTTGAGATTCGGGAAATGGGGGTTTGTTTAAGGTTGTTTGTTATATTATTTCTACGGTTGCTCAATTGAGTGTCTGGGTACGGAGAGTGCTCATGATTAGGTTGGAACTTGTTTGTTTTCTTTTCAGATAGCTGTGCTATGTAGCGTTACATGAGATGAACCACAGACGTTCTATTTTTTCCTTTTCCTGATTGATTAATTGGTTGGTTGGTGAGTGGCTTAAAGTACGCTTCTAGAAGCAATATCCAACCCAAACGTTCGTTGAGGTGTGGTTGCACCAGTCACTTGAGAGCATTTCAACAGCCCACAACGCAGACAAAAAACAAGCAAAAACACCCGCTACACCGCACACACATTGCAAACTCTCGCAACTGGAGTCTAGAAATACCGACTCGGCACGGCGCGCATGCACGCTGCTGGCTGGTCGGCCGTTTGATTTCCACCTCCTGCTTGCAGATCATGTCTTTGCGTCAGACCACCACAAAACCTTACTTTGTACAAGTAGATGCTTCTTGGGTCTGAAACTTCTTATTACAGTCACTGCTGCTGTTGTACAGTAGGGCTTGACAGCTTTGGAGTGATAAGAGTGCCGGTATATAGGTTTTTTGCTGGGCTTAAAGTACCGTTGTGGGATCATTGTACGCGAATGGTACGGATGTTTTGGATTGGTTGCTGTAATTAGAGCTTTCCTGAATTACTTCAAACCATCTGAAGAAGCACTTGTCCTTCTTCTTGGATCCTCTTGAGGCTGCGGAATACGAACATGGCGCTTTTCTCTTCTCTTTTACAGTCCTGCCACCAGATGGAGTAACACAACGAGGATTCCTCTAAGCGAATTATCGTGGTGCAGCCAAAATCCTGCACGTGGAACATACTAATTCCTTCATACTTTCAATCTTTGTGTGGCTGGACGTTGAGAAAGAAGTGGAGCATCGGGTTTTCTTTTTTCAGCGTCTTCCGCGTGCCTTGCGAGCCTTGTTGATGGCAATCTTTAACCCCGCAGAGCTGGTGGACCAGCTGCACCCCTGTGGGTGCAATGTGCCCAAGTGGAGAGGGCAATTTCGATGGGCACTTTCGGATATTGAAGTCAGGTACGCACGGAATTGATAGCCGAGTTTGGTTGTTGGAATAGATAAGTGGTGGTGAGTAAGTTGCTGTAGGGACGTGCTGTAGGGAATCATAATGCTGTAGGAAATGCTGTATCATACTTACGAATAGTGATGGAAGAACTGGTTTGATGCGATATGTTTCAACGATCTGGAGGGCAACGGTTTGAATCATGCTGGAAAGTTAGAATTTGCTACCGGATCGGTTGTGGCGTATGAGGTTGATCAACCGGGAAAGGGGATTGATGACAGGTTATACGAACGAAGGAGCGGCGAATGTACTGTGAGTTGTTAGAACACCAATTCACGCACAAATCTACAACCAGCACGATTGATGCTGCTGCTCATGCCACTTGTTTTGTATCTGCATAACTGGCTCGAGATCTAGACCCCAAACTTGGGTTTTTCGAGTCAAGTTTCTGTGGATGCTGGAGGGAAGCATCTGAAACACCGAAGTCCAGTCTGATAGTCCCCATCTCGAGTAAGCATCCATGCCTGCAGCAGAGCACCATGCCACCAGCACCAGCTGCTGCAGCAGCTGGCAGCGCTAAGAAACAATCCTTGGGGTCAACTTAATATTACCGCCCCTGAGCAGCAGCGCAGTGCGATCGACTGACTTGGTATCCGGGTTCTGTCAAACTTTCCACCTCTGGCCCTCTGGGACACCTCCACCACATACCTTCATGAACTTCTTTCCAACCACTTGAGGACCAGTTTTTTTCTGCTGGCAGAGCCATAACCTACCTACATTCATTCACCCCTCACCTCCCCTCACCCTCACCTCCCCTCACTCACCCATTCACTACACGGTACTACGCCACGACCTCACCTGACTTCTATCACATTACTGTACGGGAATCCGACGCAGGTTCCTCATCCAGCGATTGTCTAATCAAGCACCGTGCCTAAAATTGTCACCTGTCAAAGAATCAACGTAGGCCAGAGCCAATTCCTCCATTGACGTTGCCAGTCATTCCTCATCCTCCGTCGGAATAGCTTCACTCTTGGGCCTGGCGCGTCGATCAATTTCCCAACTTGAATACAAACCAGAGCACAGCCTTGTTTGCGATAGCTGCAGGTGAAAAGCCTTTGTTTGCACCATGGTGTCCTCTTCGCGAACCAGTACAGAACAAAAAGCAGACAGACGCTCCAGTCTTGGGACGCTCTTGCGCCGAAAGGGAAGCAGAAAGAACCTCGCTAGAGATCATGAGATCCCACGATCGGTAGAGACAGCCGTTCCGCGCCTGCCTGACATCTACAACGGCGCTCCCCCCAACGTCATCGAGACCTTTGGAGGCGAATCTCCTGCCAGACCTGACTCTGTCGCCATCATCTCAAATCGCGCAATGGATCCCAAACGCGCGCCACCACCTACGGTCCCCGTCCCTCCAATTCCAGTCGATCCCTACGCTAGAACGGAGAGTATGACCCACAGAGGACGATACAGCTATGCTAGCAGTGCTGTCAGCTCAATCAACAGTCCACGTCGTGTTAGGAGACGGAAGGACCCAACGCCATTCAAGTAAGCGCTAATCAGCTTCCAACCCTTGAAAGCCATCCAGACAACTAACTGTATTCAGTATCTTGATTATTGGAGCTCGCTCGGCTGGCAAAACTTCCTTTCTCAATTTCCTCAAGACCTCGCTCGCCCTCCCACCCAGGAAGAGACCCGGTCGGGCGACGACCGAACCCCTGAATGATGACATATTTGCGCCACAAGGCAAGAAGAATGGGAACTTTGAGTCGCATTATCTGGAGACAGAGATCGATGGCGAGCGCATTGGTTTGACATTGTGGGATTCGGAGGGAATGGAGAAGAACCTGGTTGATCTTCAACTTCGTGAGATGTCCTCGTTTTTGGAGAGCAAATTCGAGGAAACCTTCACAGAGGAGATGAAGGTAATTCGAGCTCCAGGCGTTCAAGATACCCATATCCACTGCGCGTTCCTCATTTTAGACCCAGTCCGTCTCGATCGAAATATTGCCGCTTCACAGGCACAGGCTGCAAATGGCCATAGTACTAATGGAAAGCACATGCCAGAGTCTCGTATAATTGGCGGTTTGAACGAGGATCTAGATCTACAAGTTTTGCGTTCGTTGCAAGGAAAGACAACTGTCGTGCCAGTCATCTCGAAAGCTGACACCATCACCACCGCACATATGAACTTCCTCAAGAAGACGGTGTGGGACAGTTTGCGAAAGGCCAACCTCGATCCTCTTGAAGCACTCGGACTTGACGACGGAGATGATACCCAAAATGACTCCAGTCGTATCGAGGAAGGGGACGAAAATGCCGGTTCCGACGCCGAGAAGAACTCCAACGACGGAAATTCAATTCAAACTCCAGAAGCAAGTTCAACACCAAACTCAAAACGTCGTTCCTCCGGATCCACTCGCCGCCACAGTAAACGCGCAGAAGACGAGCCAGAAGAACTTCCATACCTTCCTCTATCCATAATCAGCCCGGATATCTACGAACCTGGTGTGATTGGTCGGAAATTCCCTTGGGGTTTCGCTGACCCAATGAATCCCGAGCATTGTGACTTTATGCGATTGAAGGAGGCCGTATTCAGCGAGTGGCGTGGTGAGCTGAGAGAAGCAAGTCGGGAACTCTGGTATGAAGGATGGAGAACAAGCCGACTTAAGTACCGAGAAGTCAAACCAGGTCCACGACGATGATCACCTCTTTTTGCACTTGTCTCACCATTACGAGACTTGTTTCTAGAAGATTGGTCGTACGGTTCTACCGAGCCACGAGATATTTTGCACAAATTTTCCTTTGTTCAGCTGCATACCCCTTACTTCGATTTGTTTTTTTGTACCCATTTTCCTTGTGCATCTTGTTGCAGCGGCAGCGAGAGCACATTATTTTCTCTTTCTTCTTGCACAGGCGAGAGAGATATTCCGGATTTGACAAATCTGATTCAGCGACTGCGTTTGAGCCTTCGTTCTGTCTGCGCTGGTCGCGCGTTCTTCCAAAAGCCTAGCAGATTTTTGATTTGCATCTACTACGAAACGAATGGAGAATACTATTTTCGGCGGAGGGAAAAAAATCCACTTATTTTGTTCATTTCCAAAAAGGTGCAAAAGGGGATGGATGTGACCTTGGGGATATTTTGGAGGAAAGATGATGCTTTGTGAAATTGGGCAACTCGATGGCTTGATTTGCTTTTATAGGCTCTTCTTCTTTTTCACCTTTTCACCTTCTGCCCTTTTACCGTTGATGGGGGTTCTTTTACACCGTCGATGTAATATGACTTTGGCGACGTCCATTTGGGTGGCCTGCCTGCCTGTTGTATTAATTCTGTTGTTTCGATAGTGTTCTATGAAACCAAGATGCCCTTTTACCTTATTTTTTTCTTGTGTGCTTGTGCTTGTGTTTGTGCTTTGGTGATGGGTATGTGTGTGTGTGTGTGTGTGTGTGTGTGTGTGTGTGATTCGTGGTCTGACGGGCCCGGCGGGAGAGCTTTCTTGAAGTGCTACGAAGTCGATACTTACCTAGCTAGGTAGGCAGCGGGAAAGGATTACGAATGAATGAGTGCAAGTGCTGACTAAAAGGAAATATGGTTCGTGGGTAGGTAGGTACCATGAGTGGCAGCTACGTAAGATCACTTTATATGGGTTTGGTTACATACCATGTACACAGGTACTTGTACGTACGAGTCAAAATTTGGGTAAGATACAGTAACAGGATTTCTTAGGTTGATAGATGAGTAGATAAGTAGGATTTATGACTCCTGCGCTTTTCTTTGGGAATCATAGATATCTACCTATTGTGCAGGTAAGAAAGTCGTGTGCGGATTCGTTTCTTTTCTTTTCTTTTCTTTTCTTCTCTTGTGTGCTTCTCGTTTTTTTTTGTGTGGGGGAGGTATTTATTGCCTGGATAGTGCGGTTACACAGGGCGATTTCATTTTTTCTTCTTTTTCCTCTCTCTCTCGTTTTTTTTTTGGTTGAAGGGGGAGTAGAGAGGAGAAGAAATGGGGGAAGAGGAGAGAAAAGACGGAAGAGAAGAGGGAAGAGAGGAGAGGAGAGAGGAGAGAGGAATTATGTCCTTCTGGTTTAGTTGTCTAGTTATGTTGTCTGTTGAGGGATGGTGGGGGTAGGTAGGTGGGTAGGTATTGCCCTGATTTGATTTGACCTGATCTGATCTAATCTGATTTAAGCCAGGCTTGTCTCGAAATCGACGTTAAAGTCGACGTCGACGTCGTATGGGAATTTTGTAAGATCTTGCATAGATAGGAAGGGCAATGATACAAGTGGAGGTGAGTGGAGGTAGGTGTAATGACCATCACCCAACCAGGCTCTTCTTACTTCTTGTAAGCGCAGACTCAGGTACCTACCTATAGCCATTTTATTAAGAAATCGAGGTCTATGAGGTGTCTGGTTCGAGTTAAGCTGATGTGTTGGTATGGCGGATGTACGTGAGCCTTTGTTGGAGTAAGGGACGTATATATCGCTCCCTCCCTCCCTTTTGATGTAAGATTACAGTACAGGTGAGCGTTTAGGACTCATAGGTACTAGTGTGGGGTATAACCCCTCCCTCTATCAGGGTTGGAGAAATGTCCGTAATTCCTCCTCTGAAAAGTCGCTCTTTTTGTAGCCTCGTAGTGGTGTAAATACAATAATAACGAAAGAAAGAAAAGGTCTATGAACTACCTACTATGTTAACACTTGGCTTAATGTCAAGTTAGCACATACATTTTATATGTTTTTATAATCTGTGTAGCGTATGATCTATTTTTCTGATGTAGGGAGTGTATAGAGGAAAGACGGTTATTAACGTAGAATGTAACCGTGTGGAGTGAACCACTGCTTGCTGTGATGAATACGGAGTCAAACGGAAACTGCTGTATTGAGCGAACAACAAAGTGAGGAAGGAAGAGAGTTCCAGAGGAACGAGAGCTTAAATACAGGATGCCAGCAGCGCGCACGTGACACATACTACATGCTGCGCTACACGTGATCAACCCCTAGTTCCTCCAACTCCGTAACAGTACCCCCCCTCTTAAAGAAGGTCGTCCT